GTCTCTTTTGACTAAATTATTAAATATATAGTCTTTCTCTAAGTCAGGGTTGTTTTTCATTTCTTCGGGGAGTGGTTTCCCAAACCTTTTTGTTTACGGTTATTGTAAATATTTAAAACTTGTCTCATCTTTGCCATGGAGAAGTGTCTATATTTGTCGTCATATGACATTTCATTTGCTTCACCACCTTGTGGTTGGTTTAAGTCTCTTAACATTTTTATACATCCGTCAATGACACCAAGAGCAGAATGGTTTTGGTCGACAATGAAATATTGGTTTACATTTTTTGAACGCAGATAGTTTTTACATCATCTGATTTGAAAGAACTTTCACAGTCAGATGTCAGTTTTGTTGGATGGTATTTGTCAACGAATATTGTCAAAGCAGTTTTCACATCTAAAATATTTTTGGACCATAATGGTATGGCTTCACAGTATTTGTGTTTTGACCGACAAATATTAGCCAGTATGGTGGTCCATCTTCTCTATACCTCGGAATGTTTTCCAAGATATCCATAAACCAAGCATTTGGTGTTGAACTAAAGATTTTTATCATGAGTGCTTTCTTTGTCGCTTTAGAAACATAGGGGTCCTTGTTTGGATTCGTCATTTTTTAACCCATAAGAAATGGGTTTATTTGGCGCATTAGCAGGAGTTGCATCCAGATTTTTGCCCGCAGTGGGAACAATAGCCAGAGGTGTATTTGGAGTTGGAAGGAAGATTTTGAGTACATTAGGTATACTTAAAGAGAAAGCACAACCTATTATACAAACTGTACAGAAAGGTTGGGATGTAGCACGAGATGCAACAAATCTTATTCCAAATCCTGAAACAAGAGGAAAAGTTCAAGGATGGATGGACAATGTAGGAAGACAAGCAGGAAACTATTATAACAAAGCAAATGACTACTATAACCAAGCAGGACACTATATGGACCAAGGTGAAAGATTCTTTAACAGAGGATATAACCATGCACAACAGTGGGTAAACAATAACCAACCTCAACCGCCTCAAACGTGGGGAATGTAAAGTTTTTTACTGAGATGAAATGAACAATACAGCATTGAGACAAATGGGTTCAAGATGGATTTGTCGGCTTCCAGCAGTTACACCACGTGTTTGTCAAGTTCTTCCTATACCTCAGGAAGTTTTAGACCGACTTAAAAAAACCTAAACAACCAGTTGAAAACAAACCAAACTAAAATTTTTTACTGAGATGAAATGACCGAAGAAGTTGAAACGGTAGATTTGACACCACAAACAAAAAGTTCAGAACCATTGTCAAAACCTGTCAAAGAACTTACAGATGAAGAGAAAAATTCAATAATAGAAAGTGCCAGGTCTGGAAATACAAACCCTAACTACAAAGTCACTTTTCATAAAAATGGAACGGCAAGTATCTCAAAAAAGAAACAGACTCTCACAAATAAAATATTGAAGTCTGAAGGAGCTTTCGAGACAACAGATGGAAAAGTTTACTTCACTGACCAACAGTTCATTATAGAACATCTCATTGACTTAGAGTCGAAATATTCTAAACTTTACAACAAACACAAAAAGTTGAAAGGAAAACAAAAACAAATGGCATATGATATTTATGAAGATGTTGACGACACAACTGTTCCTGCAAGTGAAGTAAAGTCAGAGAAACCGAAAAGTGACGAAAAACCGATAGAAGAAGAAAAACCAAAAACTGAAGATAAACCAAAACCAAAGTTTAGTTTGGAAACTAAACCAAGTCAACCTTCATTAGCTGGTATGGGTTGGCGTCAAAGACTTATGGCAGCAGGCGGTTATGTTAAGTAAAGAAAAAAATATTTTTTTAAATTTTATTTGAAATGTACGCTGAGTTTGTTGGAGAAGACCGTTGGGAAACTTGTTTGTTAGATGAGAAATATGAAATGGCATACCATTTTAAAACAATATATTTTTACATATATTAAATGCTTCAGGTTGAAAAACAAAGAACAAAAGTAGCAGATACAAAACCATTAGACTATATCTTTACAAATGCTGGTAGGACTATATCAGATGAAGAAATTTCATCCCGAACATACAGGTTTGACTCTCCAATTCGTTGGCTTCAAAGTCCTTCAGATGCAAAGGCAATAGGATTTAGAAGAGTTTTGTTTTCAAATAGAACTAACGCATTTATGTTCGCAGTATATTTTCATGGGCAGTATAAAGGTTCTGATGGTCTAATAGACAAATTTGACGAAATGAGAATCTTTACAGTTCGTTCAGACGAAAGTCTTGAGAAAACTCTAAATGACTTTCAAACTCAAATGAACAAATATTATTGGGAATTTCAAGAAAAATACGACTCTTTACTAAATGGAACATACTATCTGAAACTAGAATATGACAAGATGAACTCCACCGTTTCATTTCAAAAGATTGAAATTAACCCTCCAAGAGATACAGAGTTTTTATATTGGAAAGTAGACAAACGTTCTTGGGCACAATTTCTTCGGTTACTAAACCAGAACGAACCATTACCACCAGATGGTCCATTTAAATTTATACTTCCACCAGCAGATTTGACAGTTTATAGAAACGTGTTTGACCCTCAAAATGTTATGTGTCATGCAAGTTTCAGTTCAAGCAACAATAGTTTTCTATGTATTGGTAAGGACTTTTATGACTTTGTTCTAAATTCTACGAACCACCTAGTAACAGTTTCTCTGACTTTCAAGTTTGGTTCACAACAAATGGTGTGCAACATATTATTCCATTGTACTATGACTTTTATCTCGAATTGTCTTTCATATATAACTACGGAAAAGTGCTGAAAAAGTTTGAAAAATAATGTTTATGTTAGCATGTTAGATCTAACACGTACTGCTTCAGAACAATATTTGTACTGCTTCAGAACAATATTTGTACTGCTTCAGAACAATATTTGTACTGCTTCAGAACAATATTTGTACTTTTTCAGAACAATACTTGTACTGTTTCAGAACAATACTTGTACTTTTTCAGAACAATACTTGTACTGTTTCAGAACAATACTTGTACTTTTTCAGAACAAGACTTGTACTTTTTCAGAACAAATTTCCCGTAAAAGCTCTCAATTTGTGAGAAAAATTTTCTGTTTCAGAACAATATTTGTACTGTTTCAGAACAATATTTGTACTGTTTCAGAACAATATTTGTACTGTTTCAGAACAATATTTGTACTGTTTCAGAACAATATTTGTACTGCTTCAGAACAATATTTGTACTGCTTCAGAACAATGTCCGACGTACCACCAACCGAGTCCATTCCCAAACCAGAGGAACCTAAAGCACCAGCCCCTGCACCTCAGTTCCAGCAAGTACCTCCGATTTACTACCAATTTCCACCTCAAGGTTACTACCCACCACAAGGCTTCCCGAACTACCCTCCTCAGCCTATGCCTTACTGCCCCAACCCTTGGATGTTCCAGCAAGCTCCACCCCAGCAATTCCAATCTCAATCCAAATCGAAGAGAGACCAAGAGTTCGAAGAAGGTCTGAACCGTTTACGCAAAGAGTATGCTACAGCTCCAATTGAGAGAAAGTTGTTCCCGGACCAAAAATATATTTTAGGGTAGATGGTTAGATCTAACCTGTCTTCTACCCTCTTTTCTAACCTCTTGAATTTGTCAAGACTTCTTCGTAAATGTTTTGTCATGACTTCTTCGTAAATGTTTTGTCAAGACTTCTTCGTAATGAGTGTAAAGGACCCAAAAATATATTTTAGGGTAGATGGTTAGATCTAACCTGTCTTCTACCCTCTTTTCTACCCTCTTGAATTTGTCATGAGTTTCCTTAAGATAGAAAAAATAAAGTTAGTTTTATTTTTATTTATTTTTTTATTTTGTATGTAAGAACATATATGACAAACATTGAGTTTGAAACAGTTAGAAAGATAGACAATGACACCAAATTGGTTAGAATAGGTGATTTAAACGTAAGATACTCAAAGAAATACAACAAATATTCTTTGTCAGACATTTTATCTCCATCTGGAAAGAGACCGAAGGACTGGGTTAAAATTGCTTCTACTCAGAAAATTTTGACAAGAAATCCTGAGCTTATGATATCGGTAAGATTCTATGGAACTGCAGCATATCTTATAGACAAAAGTCTTATACCAATAGTTTTGTTATGGTTAGACCCAGTTGTTGGATATAACTTCATAACATATGGTTCATTCGATACGGAACGTTGCAGTGAAGGCTTACTTTACATCGTTCAGAAACCGAAGGACTTCAATACAAAGAGATATAAGATAGGAAGAACATATAATATAACTCAAAGATATGACAGTACAGTCAATAGAGTCAAGGTTGTGTTTGTTCATGATATGAGAGCTGCAGAAACAGAACTACTTGAAAAGTTTGAGAAAATGTATGGTGCTCCCACGAAAGGTAAAGAAACGTTTGAAGTAGATGAGATAGATAAAGCTATAAAATTATTTGACGAAGTTGCTGAAAAATACATGTAAAGCGTTTATTTTCTGACTTTCACAAAAGACCAAAAATAAAGTTAGTGTCATTTTATTTTTTTATTTTGTATGTAAGATATGATTTCAGGGATTTTTTTGACGAAGTGTTACTCTTCACTTCGTCAAAAAATAACAGTTATCTAATGAAAAAGTGTCATTTTATTTTTTTATTTTGTATGTAAGATATGATTTCAGGGATTTTTTTGACGAAGTGTTACTCTTCACTTCGTCAAAAAATAACAGTTATCTAATGAAAAAGTGTCATGACTTCTTCGTATATGTTTTGTCAAGACTTCATCGTACATGTTTTGTCAAGACTTCTTCATCGTAATGAGCGTAAATGTTTTGTCAAGACTTCTTCTTCGTAATGAGTGTAAAGGACCCAAAAATATATTTTAGGGTAGAAGGTTAGATCTAACCTCTTTTCTAACCTCTTTTCTACCCTCTTGAATTTTCATGAATTTTCCCGAAATAAAAAATAAAGTTAGTTTTATTTTTTTTATTTTTTTTATTTTGTATAAAAAATAAAAATGTCAACAATCGGCACAACAACAGTTCAAACAACAACAGCACCAAACTCTTTAGTCATGAATCCAACATCTATGTTAGTAGAAATGAAAAGCTTCATTCCTTCTTCATATACTTTTGAAACAGAAATCCAGAAGATAAAGCAAGAACTTTTAACAAGTAATTTAGACTGTAGTGCGAAAGATGAAACAAATGAACAGTATCTTTATGAAATGGAGGACATTATTGACCATTTGCCTAAACTACCTGAAATTCAGCAACAAAAGCTCACTATTCCTGAATTCGATGAAATAGAAGTCAAAGCAACTGACTCAGTAGAAATAAAGAAGTTCATACGAAAGGTAAACTATGAGTTTCTAGGATTTCATTGCAATCATAAGGTTATGGACAAAGATTGCGACATGGTATATAAGAACATCTCTGACATATATAAATCTGAAGAATTTAAGACCTACGACAACTTTGTTTCGTTAGTTGCTGAATGTGTATGGCAGATAAGAGATGAAGATAGAAGAAGTAAAGTATGGAACAAACAAATAAGACCCGCTATGTTTGAGATGAAGAGAGCAATTGACGCCTTAGTTGTTTTAGCAGGTAAGGTTTCAGAATATAACGCAAAGATGAATCCGCAATGTTCTAAATGTAAAGCAGCAATGAGGAAATATAACTACTCCGTCAAAGAGATAGAACGTATGAGAAACGACTATGCAGACTTAAAGAAAGAAGCAGAAAAACCAGCAGAAGATAAAATGGACATGTTAGAATTTCTGAACAAAAACTATCCAACAGCAGAAGATTTCCTTCTATCTGACGTCAAGAAGAAATATAAAGAAACCTTCGGCATAGTTAAAACATTCGATGTACTAAAAGAAGAAATAGAAGCTACAAAACTGTTTAGAGTCTCACGAATTCATAACGTTTACCATGTAAAACGCTTATAAAATAACTGGGGTAGAAAAGAGGGTAGAAAGGAGGTTAGATCTAACCTTCTACCCTAAAATATATTTTTGCTGAATTCAGCAACAAAATTCTGAGTAAAATAATTTTTAGGGCTTGTGTCAAACCGTTGAGTTTTCACAAAATTTAAAAAATAACGTTTACCATGTAAAACGCTTATAAAATAACTGGGGTAGAAAAGAGGGTAGAAAGGAGGTTAGATCTAACCTTCTACCCTAAAATATATTTTTGTCTGATTTACGCTCATTACGATGAAGAAGTCTTGACAAAACATTTACGAAGAAGTCTTGACAAAACATATACGTTTAGTTTCGATGAAATCATGACAAAGAATGTACGATGAAGAAGTCTTGACAAAACATATACGTTCATGTTTGACAAAACATTTACGAAGAAATCATGAAAATTCACGAGGGTAGAAAACAGGTTAGAAATGAGGTTAGATCTAACCATCTACCCTAAAATATATTTTTGCTGAATTCAGCACAAAATTCTGAGTAAAATAATTTTTAGGGCATAAGATTGCTACCCTCGGAAAACCGAGGGTAGAGATTCCGTATGAAAACAGTGAAGAACAGCGAGTAGGTAAGAAACCTTAGTCGCCAAAACTCTATGAAAACAGTGAAATTTCTCTAGACCGACTTTTTTCGGTCTTGCATAAAACACATGAAAACAGTGAATTTCCTTAAGATAGAAAAAATAAAGTTAGTTTTTTATAAAATATTTTTTTTATCCGGAATATAAAGACAGATATGTCAACATCAGAGAACACAACAACTGCTATCGTTCATGAAGCCATAAATGAAGAATATGAGTACATACAGTATAACAAACAGTTACGTCTCATTCGTTCAGTCAAAGACGATATGTACCAAATGCAAAGTATTTTGACAGCATGTTTTGCACCCGACACTAAGCTTCCTAAAGACTGGTTTAGGAACCAAAGCACTATTGAACTATTAAGCGAAGCACAGCGAGACATACTTTTTTCTGAAAACAGTGAAGAACAGCGAGTAGGTAAAAAACCCCAGTCGCCTAAAACTCATGAAAACAGTGAAGAACAGCGAGTAGGTAAAAAACCCCAGTCGCCAAAACTCTATGAAAATCGTGAAAAATTGCCAAACGGTTTGAGAGGATATTATGTACATAGACTTCTTGTAAATGCTGTAGCAATGTGGGCTTCGCCTCGTTATGCTTGGAATATTTACAGACTTCTTGACGAAATTCATAGACAAGAACGTGAAGAGCTAGAGAACAAGCTTGAAGCAAAAGACAAAAGCATTCAGAAAAGAATACCACGTTCGGTACCAAAAGGAAAGAAAAGAACTATAAGTATATGATTTATACTGAAGAGTTGGAGAAAGAAGAAGACAGAGATATGGTTATGTTGCATTTAGTCAGAAGAAACAACAAAAGCTTTTACGACCTTGCTAAGATTTACAAATCTGACAGAAATTGGTTCTATCGCGAAAACTTACCGATTTCAATGACACCGAAGAAGATGTGAAACAAATAGTTCAAGATACGTTACCTCAAACACACTATGATATTAAAGGTTGTACAATACTTACATTCAAAGAAGATTTGTCATTGTTAAAGGAAAAAATAACAGAGTATTTTGACAACTTCAAACAAGCAGAGTAAATGAACTCTTTATTTTTCAAGCTTGACTTCAGATGGCTCAGGTAGCTCAATTAGGTAAATTGCCTCGTCAAATCCTTCTGGCATTCCGAGTCCTTCCTTCCGACAGAAAAAATTTTTCCTTCCAACAGGAAAAGTTTTTCCTTCCAACAGGAAAAGTTTTTCCTTCCGACAGAAAAAATTTTTCCTTCCGACAGAAAAAATTTTTTCAGTTGTCCGTCCGTAAACCATTCAAATTTCGAAAAATTGAGAACTTTTTGGTCGAACTTCAGAAAAAGTTTTTCCTTCCAACAGGAAAAATTTTTCCTTCCAACAGGAAAAAAATTTTCCTTCCGACAGGAAAAAATTTCCTTCGACAGGAAAACTCTTCCTTCCGACAGGAAAAGTTTTTCCTTCCGACAGGACACAAACGGATGACTGACGTTCCTCTTCCTGAATGCCTTCCAAAGCCAGAAGAACCGACAGACCCCAGCACCACAAAAGACTTACTAGACTAAGCACTTAGATTTTTCAAGCTTGACTTTTTACAATTTGAACTTTGTTTGCGTAGATATGAATTCTGAAAGAAGTATGAGGGTCTTGTATGACTTTGTACTTCTCCCATAAGTTCATGTCTGTCAAACTTACCTGCCATGGACTCTTTCATAAGTTCCATGAAATCGTCTTCGGACAATCCGGGGAAAAGTACAATGTCAGTAAGTATTCTTTTAACATCCTTACTTAAACTCTTTGCTGTCTGTACACATATTACGACTGAGATGTTAAAGTGTCTGAGCTTCTTAAGAATTCGACACATATCTTGTTCTCTGTTCTTTAACAAAGGATGAGAAGCAAAGTATCTAAGATAAGAAGACATCTATGAGGGTAAGTCTTCCAATCGTAAGATTGCAATTTCTTCGAAATGTATTCTATCTCTTTCTGTTTGTTTCTGGAAGTGTTTTCTTCTCTAAATTCTCTGCATTCCTCATTTGGGTCTTTAAACTTAGAATTTATATACTCATTATAGCATTGTACTTCAAAAACCCTTCTTTGGTACTTCTTTATCCAATCTAAAACTCAGTATCCTTATTACATACTAACTTAGACTTCTTTATAATATCTTTGAACGAATTGACGGTTTGGTCAAATTGACCAGAAGTACTACAAATAACAACTAACTCATAGAATGGTTCTTCTCATCTAGTTCTTGTTGTTGTGCAGCCATTTTAAGATAAGTGAAAGTCTACCCGACCCAGGTGGTGCAATTAGACCTGTTATACCATTCTGAGCAAATAAGAACTTGTCATGTATAGGCTTTATCTGAGCATTTTCTAACTCCTCTTGTTCTTGTTTAAAACATTCTCAAATTTCTTGTCAATGTCAGCAAACTTTTTTTCTAACATTTTAAAAATTAAAATTTTTATCTTTTAGAAAATGTCTAGCGATTTCGCTATCTATATTCGAGACAAGCTTTTCGACAGCAAAACATCTGTCGACCATAAAATCTTACATAGTGTAAACAAGAAAGGTGAATTTGTTCTATAGTTCTGTTTCTGGGAATATGACAAGAACCATAAAACATTAAGCAGAGCAGTCTTAAAATTTGTCAATGACAGACTTGTTGACAGAGATGACGCCGATTGGAAAGATGAAGTCCAACAAAAGTTCTTAGAATGCAAAAGAAGACACATGCGGTTCTTGAAGATGAAAATAGAAAACAGAATAGATGAGCTATTAAAGGACAAAGAACTTTTACATAAATATGGTTGCGCCAATTTGACGTCTCCCAACAGAAAAGAAGAAGAAAGAAAAGAAAAGAAAAGAAAGTAGAGAAGAAAGAAGAAAGAACCTGAACCAGTTCCAGAGAAAAAGAAATTTGACATGTAAAATAAAATTTTATTTTTAGAACATTTCTGGGTCAATGTCAATGTTCTCTTCCTCTTTAGGGCAAACACTGGCTTAGACTCTAAAATCTTTTACCCAATTTACCTTGAACTTCAACTATCTTAGACTCATAATATTCATAGTGTCTGCTTTCTTTGGTTCATAAGGTATAACAAGTTTGTATGCTTTGCCTTCTTTAAGGTTTGAAAACCTTCTGTCAAAACTTTCTTTGACTGCTAACAAACCTTCTATGTCTAAGTCTTCAAATTCGCACCATTTTTAGTCACAAATAGCAAACTTAACTGGTTCGATGTTCCAAACTTTGCTGAATGAAGACTTTTCAAAATGGTAGAAGTAACATTCAAATATGTGAATGGGTTCAGTTCTTCTTTAAGTCCTGACATTACTTGTTTACTGAGATGAATTTCGTCATCTTTTCTATCGGATAAAAAATATTTTTTTAAAATTTACTCAGAAAAATTTTCTTTGTATATACACCATTCTGAACATCTAAAAGACTTTTGACATTTGCCAAGAATGTACGTTTAGAAGCTGCCATATAACCATATTCTTGACAATATTGTTTTACGAATCGTACAATGACCTTCATCTAATGACACAAAGTCAGTTTCATCTATGAACAGTTCATATACACTCTTGTTTGCTTCTAACATGTTTGTCTCTCTTCGGTATGTGGAATTTGTCTTGGATTGAACTTTGAAATATCTAATGTCATAAAATATGAGAACAAGTGGTTGTAAAAGTCAGATGTCAAAGTTTCTGCTAAGTCGTCAAAATATTCTGTATCTTGCATATGAGAATCTGACGTTCTGACAACTACATATCTTCTGTCAGAACTTTCTAACTTCATCGGAACAGAATTGTTTTGAAACCATAATGAAGTTTGCAACATTTTCACAAACTCTTTGGTCTTTATACTTTCTTTCACAACTCCAACTTTGTCTGTATAAGACTCTTCAAAGCATCTGAGTTCAAAACTTTTGTTGTATCTATACTTTGAAGTTCATTGCAAACTATAAGTTCATATTCTCTATTGAGGAGTTAAACTTGCCACAGATGTTTTCTAAGTTTGTCATATTCGGGTTCGAATAGCCTTCTAACAGTTTGCACAAAATATCTGTAAAGAATGTGTTCTTACCAGTTCTTGTTTTCCATTATAATGAGAGCAGTTTCATTTTTAGCACTTGGATGTTGTAAGATGTTTGCAAACCAACATAAGATATACTCATAGACTCTTTCGTTTCCTTGCATATAATTTCTTTGACATGGTCTACCAAGCTTCTATAATATTTTCTTTCCATTCTACTTGTTCGTATTTATATCCAGTGAAGATAGAATAGAAGTTTGGAGAAGGTGTATAGAACTTTATACCTCGAACTGAAAAATCTTCTAACTTTGACAATAAGATATCCCAAGCATCTAACATCTTCATGCCAACTTGTACGACTTTTATTTTCTTAAGTTTCTGTCTACATTCTTGTTCTGAAACTATTGTTGCTCTTGGTTTGTTAAAGACAACATCCCATTCTTTCATGACATAACATTCTGGGGCAGAGTCGACATAAATGACTAAACGTTTCAAATTTCGACTGCTTTGTTATAGTCTCGAAATGGACACATATTTCTGAATGCTTGGAAGTCATAAAAATCTGAAACATCTATTCTGTACATTTTTATAAAAATAAAAAAAATATTTTTTATTCTTGACTTTGTTGTTGCATTTGTTGCATTTGTTGTTCTTGAGCTATTTGTTGTTGAAGTTGTTTCTTGTATATACAATACTTTCACCAGTTTGCATCTTCCAATTCGAAACTTTCTGCCGTCATTGACAAATACATAGGACATAAAAGTTTTTACAGGAACAAAGTTTGCGTCAACTAATGTCAACGTTATACTTGCCAAAGTGTTTGAGTTCACTAAGGTTGAAAATTCTGCATTCGAATGAACAATAGGCAAACCAGCAGAGAAAGTATTGTTTATACGCATAAGTATCTTTTTGTCATAATAGTTTCTGTCGACATTCGAATAACACTTTGAACCTAAGTTTGAAACAATATATAAGATTGGTGTGCTTAATGTCAATGGAATAGACATTCCTTGTATGACACCTTTTCCTGTTATAGGAAACTGTTGGTAGTAAAAACCAGAAATAAGTTTTGTATTATAGCTCATATCGTTTATAGTAAACTCAGTCGGACATCCAAACATAATGAAACCTGCTCTAGTTGCAGCACATGTTACACCCGTCCTTAAAGTATTAAATAAGTCAACAAAACCTGTTGGTGGTATATCTGAGTAAGTATCTTCAAAGGAGTTTTTACCATTCACAACAATAAAGTCTTCTGGTGTCAAAAGAGCAAAACAGGCTTTAGTCGTCATTGTGTTTAAGGTTAGTTTACAATACCGTCCTTGAGGACTTTGTAAGTTTGTTGTTATAGAATTATTGACTCAGGGTTTTTAGTCGTAATAGTATAAACCATTATATCTTCTGCCATTTATTATATTTAAAAGTTTTTCTGAAAGTGGAGAAGAACTTCATCTAAACTTTCACATGGCGTTTCTTGAAGTTCTCTGTCTAAGAAGTTCAAATATTTTGTAAAGACATAGAACTTTCCTTTGTCTACACGAACAAACAAAACAGGGTCTTTCATATCGTTCAAAAGTGTGTAAAGTCCTTTACATGAAATAAAGTCTATATTATTTTTCTTCAAACATCTTTCAAGAAGTTTTGACATTTTACTTAGCAAATAAATTTTAATGAAATGTTGTGGTCGTCAAATATTTTTATGACGTCTGGGAAACTATACTTTAAGTTCAACGTTTCACCTCCTTTCATAACGTATATCTTGTCAATGACATTATATGAAACACCACAGCAACTAATGTCGGGTTCTATTTCTTTGATGTTTATATCGTCTGCCTCTGTCAAAAGTTTCAATAGTTCTTTCAAGACTTCATGAGGTGCAATGACATATGAGTTCACTTTTACAGGGTTGTGTTCGACCAAGTTTAACATTATACTTAAAGCTTGACAAATCTTCTCCTGAGTTTGAAGTTTGTCTTTCAGTTGTTGGTAGTCGTTTCGAATATCTGCAACAGAACTTAAGTCTCTGCTAACTTCAGGATATGTTGGTTGTTCTTTTACAGGAACAATTGTTATACCATCTTTGTCTTCGTATGGTTTCCCCACTTCAACATCTCTGTCTTTGACATTGACAACAACACTTTGACTGTTTGTTTGAGTTGGTGAATTTAACTTCACATCTGCCACCGCCATTAAACCTTTTGAAACACTTACGCTTCTATTTTTCGGAAATGACATTTTACTTAGAATAAAAAGATGGACGTATTCGGATATCTTATTGAATTGAAGCAGAACAAAGTTTATACTCACAAACAATACAAATACATTGACAGAATAGTTTCTTTACACAAACAATGGAAAATGTTATAGAATAGCAGTCTTTGCTGAACCAAAATATTTTCAATAAAGCAAAGAAAGTTGGTATAACCGAGATGGTGAAAGTTCTTGAAGCAGACAAAAATATAACAACAAAACTTACAGATATTTCTAAAGGTAAGTTTATCTTACAATATTATGTCAAAACTGGCGTACTGTCAATATTTGACGGAGAGAAGTCAGTTCAAGAACAACTTACTGACCTGCTGCCAAAATCTGCTCGATGGAAGCTGTCGTTATGCCAATCTGAGGAGCCCAGCAGGTTTCATCGAACGAATCTTCAAAAGAGCATCTTCCGTGAAAAGTGCTATTGGTTTTGTAAACTTCTTTGCTCTCAGTTCATCTGGACCGTCTCTGTCACCAGTATATTGTATTTGTACAGTACCAAACAGTTGAAAATACCACCCATAAAGTCTTCTGAGTCAGCAAATGGAATGCCAAGCCAAAAGTTTGAACGGTCTCCATTTGTATATTGAGTTTTTTGACCTCCTGTATGAGTCCATACTTTCACATATGGCATAATAGAACTTTGCATTTCAGGGTTAATGGTTGTTGTGAAATTGTTGTTTAAAGTTCATAGCATCTAATGTCAAGTTGTATGACCTCATATCCTCAACTGTAGAATATTCTTCTCTTGGATAATATTTGCCATCTATGTTTATATGATATTTAATACCGGGGTTGAGAAACAAGAATAGTCATTTATAGTTCGTCTGAACAGTACAAACATAGTATCTGCATGTTTCATTGCAGTTGTTAAAGCAATATCTGTTCTTGCACCTGGGTCAGCACTTTGGTTTCCAACTTCACCTGCAAAGTCTTTGACAGATATTTGGTGTATAGGAACATAAGTGGAACTGCAATATATTTGGCAGCTAAAGCATTTGAAATATCTGGGTCCAACATATAGACTGCAAGTCTGCTTTCTATTCTCTTGCATTCAAATTTTTCGCATGTGAACTTAACTGGGTCCCAAGCAGTTCAGCAGCATTGAAATAATAGTTTACTTCATTGTTGAAGTTTGAGAAACCAAAGTCTAAGTCAACTTTGTCTTTGCAAAATTCGGCGAATGACGTTTGATTTGTTCCCTTTACGTCTGTAATAGTGAATGGGTTTGTGTTGGTGCAATGACTAAGTTATTTTTGCTTGGAGTAAGTTCGATAGAAATTTTTCCTGCCCAGTTTGGCAAGTATCTTAAAAACCTGAAGATGAGGAAAGATGACAAAGGAACTCTAAGTTTCAGTTTTACTTTGGTTACTGCTGCTGCAGTTTGTCCAGAAAGGTTAACATAAACTCCTGGAACGTTAGGGTCAAGTTTCTTATTTTCTCAATATTTGCATACTGGTCTGTTTGTTCTCTAGCTTGTGGTTGTACTGAGTTTCTCAAAGCGAACCATTCATAGTTTGCCCATGTTACTGTTTGAACTAAGTCAGAGTTAGAATATATCTTATATCCCATGAAAACTTCTGGAGCATATTGGTATCCGACATAGAAAATTCCATTGCAACCTTTCTTGTCAGACAACTTGGCAGAAGGTTTTATTTCAATGTCTTGTTCCACGTATAAGAATGAGTTGTCAATAGAAATAATATGAAACCTGTCGCAAGCAATATCTACTGTTGTTGAAGAACCTTCTCCAAACTCACCTACGTTTCCATAAGAAACAGCAGTTGTATATTCGTAAGTTCCAGGAACTATTTCTGACCTTCTAATGGCATTGTCGCATTCGTTATACCATTCGGAAACATTTCCGTTCATGGCATCCAAAACTGTTGGCGTTATATTCTGAGCGGCGTACATTTCATATGGGTAAAAATATAGAATAGTTGGATTTATGTGTCATAATAGAACCCACTCGGACCAAGCTTTACTTTCTTCCTGACTGAGTTTTTAACTCTTCTTTTTCCTTCATTGCCACTACTTTCACTAGATGAGGTTACTTCTTCACTACTTTCACTTTGTTCTACTCTTCTCTTCTTCTTTGGTGTCGCTTTTGGTAACTTGCCCTCTGCTTCAAGTTGTTGCATCTTTGCCTCATGTTCACCTAGTATGTTGTAAATTTCCCATGTCCTTTTTGCCTTTGGGCTCTGGTCGCCCATCTCAGGTAACCTATATCCTAGAAAGATTTTGTCATAGTTTGTATTTGAGTCTTCGCATATTGTTTGCATGACTCTTTCCTGAGTTTCCGGTTCAAGCTCTTCAAACAGAGCTTGTCCATATGGAATAAGCTCGTTTCCAAATATATGTTTTTGTAGCCATTCTGGTTTCTTTCCATGTTACCAATAATATCTTTTGTGAATGGGAAAGCTTTTACCCAATGTTTCAGTCTTGCGTCATTTATTTCTGTAGTTGGTTTTATTTTGTCAAGGAACATGTTTTTTCAATACTAACATTTCATTTGGTACTGTCCATTTGAGTTTTCTTAAATATTCATTCCTTCTCGGTTCATTGTCTGCAAAGTAAGTTTTTATGACATTTTGCAAACTTTCGTTTGCAAGGTCATGTACAATAGGTTCTCTTCCTTCTCTCTCCCTAACTTTCTTTCTAAACTCTTCACCAAATATACCATCTCTATGGTTCTGTGTAGTTCTTTGAGATAAATGTTTTAGAACGTCAGGTGTTATATTTCCATCAGCCATGTTCATTTCATACTGGTCCAAAATATCTGCATGTTTCATATCTTTCAATGGCATTAAAGCCGCGCTGAAAATACCAGCTATATCTGGTTCACCATTCACTTCCATTGCGTCTACAACTTCTTGGAATTGAGGTTTGTAAGTTTATGAACCACCTATCCGGATTAGCTTTATGACCCCATCTCATTGTAGTTCCATAGTCTGCAGAAACAAAAGTAGGTTTGTTTCCATATTGGTTAGGTTCTGAATGAACTTTAAACAATGTTTCATTTCTATATGTTTTGTTGAAATTTAACCTTTTATTTTCACCGAGTTCAGCCGAAGATTGAACGTTATATGCTCGTAAGTAAAAAGGATTGTTGTATTTGCGTACATTTTCTTTCAGTACTTCCATTCTATGCTGAATATTTTCATCTGATGTTGGAGTCTTTTGTATGTCGGCGAACATTTTTCGATATTCTTCTACTATGTCAGCCGAATTTTTCTTAGACTCTTGGAAAGATTCCATATTCTCCGCATACTCTTGTTGAGGGTCAAGATTTTTCGGCTGTTCCAAATCTTCATCTAGTTCTGTGAAGTTAGTTTCCAAAGGAGGGACTTGTTCGTTTCCTTCAGGCTCTTCTAGCTGTTGTTGCTGAACTATTTCTTCCATGTCTGGTTGTATCTGAACTTCTTCCTGTGGAGTTTCTTGTACCTCATCTGCTGGCATTTCATATATTCCGAGACCGTTTTTAACAAGTTCCCTATTTAAGCCATCCGCATTCATAACCCTTTCTTCTTTCGTTCCGTCTCTATTTTTTACGCGTTTCATGAAGATAGTTGAATTATCATTTATCTCTGACACCAAATATCTCGGAGTAAATTCATCCATGTCATTTGGATGATATGCTATTAAATCATATCCCTTAGCGAGCTTGTATTTTCCAGGTTTGAAATTATATCCCATTTGGTGCTGAACCATAAAGCTAAATAGGTTCGGGTCAGTATTTCCTTCCTTGAACTTTCTAATAGCTTCTTTATATCTGTCACTAAAGTCAAGAGTATCTGGGTAACCATAATTTTCCTTAAGCATTTTTAAGAATTCTTGGTTTCCTTGTTCTCTACTTCTTTTATGTCCTTGCTCTGTTTGTGGTTGTTGCTGTGCAGTGTTTTGAACTGTTGGTTGTGGTGCAGTGTTTTGAACTGTTGGTTGTGGTGCTGGATTTTGAACTGTTGGTTGTGGTGCTGGATTTTGAACTGTTGGTTGTGGTGCAGTGTTTTGAACTGTTGGTTGTTGTGTTGGTTGTTGTGTTGGTTTTGGTGCATGCCTGTGTCTGTGTCCATGTGACGATGTAAATGTTTTAGGTAGTCCTGGTGCAGGTGCTTCTCTTGGAGGGTTTGGTGGTATATAAGTTCCACCAGCTGGCACATATGTTCCATCTGCAGCATAATGTCCTACCTGACTTTTCGTTCTTAAGAAAGCATTTACTAGGTCTGTTTTGGTCTGTTGTAACTCTTTTTCTTGACTTTCCACAACACAGTTGCTCTAACGGCGTCATAGGCACTTTGAACTGCCTGTCTCGTTGCTGCATCTGTTATTTTCGTCATATTTTGTGCTACTTCTCTTAACTCGTTGTCGAAACCTTCAGACTTCAGTTTCTTTCCAGATGAGAAGTCGTTCACTAGTTTCACCTTACTATGAAGAGCTTCGAAGGCGTTCTTAAAGTCAGCATTCATTAAAGCTTCATTTGAACTGTCTTCATCCGCTTGTATTTTTGTCCTTATTGACCCTATAAGTTGGGCTGCTTTGGCGTTGGCTTGGGCATCTAACCAGTCATTATTAGCTTTTATATATTCTGCGCTTTTCATTGCCTTTTGCATGGCTGCGTCGTTATTTTTACTTTCTTGTGCTAAGTTTTCATACTGTACGGTTTGGTTTTGCAACTGTAAAAGTTTTTTCTGCCTTTACATTTGCTTCAACTTCTTTTTTATACTCATCGCTATCCATATATGTCTTCAGGGCTTTTTGTTTTATTTCTTCATCTTTCAGTACTTTATATTGAGTAGTATGGTTTTTCAAATTTATAACATCTTGTTCCATTTTTGCTACTTCTGCTGCTTTTTCTGACACTTTTTTCGCATATTCCTCTGTACTTAGTTCTTTCAGTTGCTCTTCTTTCTTCTTTTTCTCTACGTTTAACTCATTGAGTTTCTTTGTGTGTCTGTCATATTCTAGTTTCTTTTCGTTTTCACTTATTTGTTTCTGTATGTCTATGTTTGACTTTTTGACATCTGTTATTTGATTTTTGAGTGAACTCAAATTCATTTGACTTTGAGGGTTATAAGCTGTTCCGTCTGCAGCTCCACCATAGCCTGCCATTTTCGCTAAAAGTGCCGCTCTTAAACCTCCACTCTGTGCACCAATAACTCGGTTTAAAAGCATAGGGTTGCTTGACATTTGTTGCAACATAGTGGGGTCATTCATAATTTGTTGTTGCAACTGTTGTTGTGGTGTCAGTTTTACTATTGGATGTTTCAATGCTCCCTTCCTCTTACGTATATTCTTACGTAGCTTACGTGGCATTTTAAGTGAAGTTAAAAAGCGGTTTTTGACAGATGTTTATATGACACTATTTGTTCAGCACAAAAAACTACTCGGTCAAAGTGTTGTCAGTTTTGTAAAATAACCGTCCTATCTCATTCTATAAGGGGAAAAAGACTTCTCAAAGTATACTTCCGTGGAACGCCTGTAACTTTTCCTGTAGCGACGATAGACCCTTACTTGTCCGGACAAAGTTATACTAAACATCTTCAGGGCTAGAGGGCACGAAGTGCCTGGAGGCCCCACTACCTTTTTTTTTTTTTTTTTGAGTTACTTTGAATTCCTTGAATTTAAATAAAATATTGAAAAAATCTACCTAATTTCTTATGTATTCAAGCATAGACAAGCGGGACATATCACAAAATACAAAAATGATATAAAAACATTCAACGTATAACATATTTTATTGACAATAAAAACAAATAAGAAAGAATTTAGATTAATCATAACCAAACTGCATATTGTCGATGTTAGAAATAGCATACAGTAGCTTTTCACGCAAGATTTCTTTAGTTGGATAGTCAGGGATCTTGATTCTTCTCATGCAAGTCTTTGCAGTTGGGAAAGCTTCAAGATTTTGGTCTCCTTTATCTAAGCTAATCTTAGGATTGAGTTTCTTCAAGTCGTTTTGAGGGAATTTTTGAGATCCGGTAACAAATTTTAGGAAATTTTGGAAAGTTTCTTGATCAAATTCCGCTAATATCTCAAATAGCCATTTTTGAATATTAGGCGTTACACCTTGCGAACAATCAATGCTCTCTCTTAGATCTTCAATTGTATAATTGTATTTGTTGTTTCCACAAATGATTTGCTTTAATTCTTCAGATGAAAACAATTTTAATGCACTTGGAGCCATAACAGTACCAAAGCCTTGGATAAAATCTTCAAGAACATATTTGAAATAATTTTCAACCTTGAATTGTTCTAAAACATATTGACAATTTTCTTCAGTAATATCTCCATCACCAAGGTTAAAGGTAGCAAGATCACATCCAATCAATTTCTCGGGATTATTGAACATATTTGCATAACTTTTATCAATTTCAGTCCAATCGAATCTTTCTCCACAAAGTAACTTGAAGAATGCATCACAAAATGCATCATTTATTGTAGCTTGCATAATTATTGTCTTTGCAATTAAAATACCAAATTCTTTCATGTTTTTTGCACCATGGATAGGCATATATCCCATCTCATATTTTCTAAATGTCTGATCTCTCTGTAGAAATTCATTTGTTAGTGAAAAAATGAATTCTCTCGAAGGACCACTTCCGATACCGGCTTCGCCATAGAATTTACAGTCCCAATTCAAAGTTCCTGGACCACAATGCTTCAGAATTTTCAATCCGTCTTCAAAAATCTTATCTTTTCGGACAATAATAGAAGCTTTGTATTCGGAACCCTTCTCAGATAGCGCGTGATCAACACTTATGTACTTGATATTGAGGAAACTGTATCTTGTATCGTATGAAAATAAAAATGGATATTGATAAATCAACCGAGATATAGGATGTAAAGAACAAATCGTTGATTTAACATTTTTTTCGATTTTATCTCTTGCAAACGTATCAAGTTTTTCATTTATCAAATATTTTTTGGTTTTGTAGTAGTATTCACGGATTTTGAAGTGAACTGCAGCAAGAAATGGATCAGACACTCCAATGGGCTCAGTTCTGATGTATTTTTCGTTATCTTTTGCAGGTTTAAGTTTTAAATGAATATCATTGCAATCTTCATTCAATGCAAATACTGCTTCTAATAAAGTATATATTGGGTAAATGGAACCTTTTTCTCGTTGAGATAAATAAAAAATTTCGGTATAACACCTGTTTCATGCAAAATATTAGTAATTCTTGGAATAGCAACTCCAGTTTCTGATTTAGGATAATCAACAATGTCTTTACAGTGCTTTTCCCAAGTATCTTGTAAAATTGAATGATTTATTAATTTCTTTGTGGTTAAATACTTGAAAACAACTGATGATAGATCAGAATTATAGGGAAATTTCGATAAAATTTCTTTTGATTCATTGATTGAAATTTTGACATTCAAAATTGGATATGTTTTCTCGGCATCATACTCTCTACCAGTCATTTCATTTTGAATAGTGGTTAGCAAAAAATCTAGTAGTTTGTTAAATTTGTCACGAATTTCTTTATCTTCAGAATCACTTGGTTTTGTAATAGGATTTAATAACAATTCATGTATATCGACTAGAGGTAATTTTTCTTGGTTTAGAAGTGTGTTATAAAACCTTGATAAAAAATCATTTGGATTAATTATTCTTTGGTTGGTAAACATCTTGAACACATCTTTGACTCCTGATTCTATGATGATATCTGGGTATTTTTTAACTAGATTGAGGATTGTTTGAAAAATAAAAGATAAACTCGTAAAAGAAATATAATTAATATCAACACTTCGCAGATTTTTTATAAATTCGTATATTGTCTGCTTCAAATCTTCATCTTCTGAAGATGTGCACAAAATAGAAAAGAAATCATCTAAAATTGCTCCATCCTTCAATTGCAGATATTCCTCTAGGATAGGAATCTTGTTAATGAGATCTTGAAATTGAATCTTATCTTTTTGTTGCATTATTTTAGAATTTAAAAAATAAAAATGAAGACAAATTTTTTAAAAACGGATAATTGATTTACCCATATTCACATTCCTTATAATTTTTAAAATTTCCACAATTAAAAAAATTTGGTAAAAGTGACTTTGAAGACAAAAAGTGGCGTAATAATATGAGTGTTTATTACTCACAAGTTGCAGACAGTTTTGAGAAACATTTTCTTGAATTGTCGACAAAGGCTGAATCAATACATCCTTTCTTTGCACCAAATGCTGTAGCAAAGATTTTTGACGAAGATATTCAAGGAGTAGACAATATATTAAAGAAATATGAAAATTTATTACCACTTAAAAAGTCTTCTGCGAAGTCTTCCGCACAACCTGTCGAAGGAGGCTTAATTTATACAAATATTTTCGATTCAAATGGAAAGAAACTCATATTTACTTTTGAAATCAAAGAAGTAGATACAAAAGATCATAGATACGGAATCACAGCGAATATTATCACTAGTTATGATTAATTTAAGTTGTTTTTTTATTTTCATTAATAATAAATGTCTTAGTTGTAGTTTTAATACTTGTTTTAATACATTTAATATTAGCTATTGCTAAATATGATAGCCATCCTTCTATTTTGAATTTATATAATACCCTCTATTTCCAGGAATTACCGTTTAAGGTTATTTTTTGCATCAAAAAATTCAATTTTAGCATGATTAAAGTATTATTTTTAAAAAATAACAATAAAATATTAATTTATACAAAAGTGTTATATATCCCTTACATTTTTGTGGCAAATGGAGAGGGTAACGGCGTCGAAATTGCATAATTTCAATTCTCCTTATCTCAACGAATACAAGAGGGATGGGACTGAAATTAGGCTATTTTATTAGGTATGAGGTATCAAACATTTTCACTGATGAAGAATTGAAAAAGCTGATTTCAACTTTCTAATCATACCTTATATATGAGGTATCATATCAAAATACTGATATGTTATTACTTATGGGGCCACCCGAATGTTCTCACAATTTGTTTGTATAGATATAAAAATAATTATATTAAATTTAAATTAAGTCTTTTATTCCTAAAATGAATACTTTTTGATATTTTTATATGGCAGTCCCAACGGGAACCGCGGTAATTTACCGAGGTTTCCGCACACCGGTTCCTTTTTTTTAGGAATTTTTTAGATTAAAAAATATGCTTTGTAAATCATTTTTTGTAAATCGGCAAAAATTTGGAAATATTCTGACGACAATAAATCTGGGAATAGTATTTTAAATACGAGAACAACCTATTTAAAAGTGTTTCGCTCGATTTTGTATAATTTCAAATTTTCGCATATAGCTTTCCGTGAATTACCGTGATTTTACCGCCACATCAATAGTTTACGACACTTTTTCCGTAAATTGAGTAGTTTACTGCACTTTTTCCGTAAAATTGAGTTACGGGAATCCGTAAGATTACCATACCTCACTTCTAGTTGAAAATAGCATTCGTATATAATAAATAGATATATTATTGATATTTTTGATTTTGAATTACGGAAAAAGTGAGTTCAGAACTTCCAATTATTATTTGATTAATTATGTTAAAAATACTATAAGGAATTAAAATACATAATGTTGAAATTTGAATTACGGAAAAAGCGAGGGTGAAAGTGAAGTGAAAAAGTAAGATATTTTTTGTTGAAATAATCATAGTTGTACAATTTTGAAACTATATGTAAAGCTATAAATTGAATAAATTCAAAAACAAAAATTGTTTATTCTTATTAATAAATTTATATTAATCAATATTTGAACAACCCGTAATTAAAATTGAATTCCTCTTAAAATTTAATCCATACGTTAATTTTTAATTTGCTCGGCGAATGCCGAGCTTCCCTACTTCTCTTGTCATTCCTTCAAAAACTCTAATCTCATCGCACTTACAAACATCATGATTTGATGTATTGTCGAGAAATCTTAGACTTGTTTGTCATTTGATTATAGCATTTGAAAGTCATCTCGAAAATCGATTAACAAGACAATTTCCCAAACATCTACATACAAGTAGATGATGGTAAACCCATTAGAGTTGTTTTGCTATGATTCCTCCAATCTTATGATGAGAAAAATCATATCAAAACAGCTCTAATCGAACATTCTACACAGCTTAGCATCCAGCTAGTTCCAAGTAATGCGATTACAACATCAACGGCCAAAGCCTTTCAGAGTCCTTTAATCATTTCTTCTCATCTCAATGTGAAGTGGCCCCAAACGAACTACAAGCTGACTTTACAACGCATTACAACCCGGTTAATACGAGCATATACATTAGAGCTGCTTTGTTATGATCTCCCTCATCAATTGATGAGAGATCTCATTATGAAGCAGCTCCAATCGAACTAAAAACCTACATACAAATGAGTGAAAACAAACTCATTAGAGTTGTGTTGCTTTGATTTCTCTCATCAGAAGATGAGAGATACCAGAACAAAACAACTCTAATCAAACTTTCTACACAACTCAGCACAGAATCAATGCAAAGTAATGCGTCTGTATCGTTAACAAGCAAAGTTGTTTCGGGTCCTTCCATTTTGGAAGAATTCGGAACAACTTTGCGAATTGATAGTGTAAACCCATATACATGAAAGCGTGCATGCATAAAGACAGGTATTGTCAGCAATGACTACCTGCCCAGCTATGAGTGATCAGAGAATTACCATCTCAGGCTTTTTGAGAACGTTTCAGCCAGGACCCTCGTATGTTGACTGTGAGAAAGGCATCCTTTATCTGAAATAGATGCTTTTCCAACAATCAAATTCGAAGATCTTCGACGTTGTTGTAAAAAGAGAAGGAGAAGGAAAGAAGAGGAAGGAGAGGAAGAAGTAGTCATGTGATTTTATCCCAAGCATATGGGGATTCTAAATTTTTGTCCCTATCGTTATCCCAATTGAATTTTTTTTTGGAATTTAAAAATTTTTTTTCTCCATGTAAACTTAAATTTTAATTTTTACCACTAAAATGCAATATTTCAACAAATTAATGAGTAATAATATTTTAATTTATAATAAATATTATAAATCTCCTCAATTTAATGTAATTATTGTATTAATTTTTGTTGAAAATATAAAATCTTCAAGTAAATGATGTGAATTTAATATTTTTAGAATGTTGTTTAATTGTACTATATTATGCATGTAAAATTTTGTTACAATACATTTTATATGGGATCCCCATTGCCCAATTGAGAGAAAATTGAGAGGTGGGATTGGGCTAGCCCAATTCAAAATATCCCAGGTGGAAATAAAAAAATTAACAATTCAACATAAAAAAGCATCTTAAATAATAATGATAAAAAGAAATTTTGTATGAATTTCAATCAAATTTGTTTTTATTCAACTTAAGAAATCACTTCATTAATGAAAGAAGTCGGGTTCACAACATATCCCGATCTTGAAACGAAACAACATGTTTTTTTGATGCCCTAAACGGGGGGTCGCCAGCAAAAAAAAGATGTCAAAATTTATCCCAAAAATTTAAAAAAAATCGAAGAAAGTGCATCCCAGGGATTATAAAATTTAAGTTTTCACATCTCTAGGAAGAAGGAAAGGAAAAGAAGAAGAAGAAAAAAGAAAAAAAAAGAAGGACATATTAAATATAATGCGCACTTAATAGTGCCGAGGCGGCGGAGCCCCCGAGGCGCGATTTTTTTGACCCTATATTACCGCACGGCAATGTTTTTCTCGATTTTGTACAGCCCTATATTAAAGAGACTTTTTATATAATATTCATAAAGATTTTCCAAAAATATGATACCGCAAAATTAAAAAAGTGACGTCTTGAGTGGAGTCAAAGGGCGAAATTGCTAGCTAAATGTTTTTTTAGCGAAATTGCGTATTGTACGTTTTTTTCGCAAAACGAAACCCTTATTAAAAAATACCTAATTTAATTCAACTTTATATATACTTTTTTATGAACTCATCATCGAACAACGATAAAATTATCGTTTGTCAAATGGGTGGCTAAGAATTTTCTTAGATAATATAGTATTAAATGAAATTATTCATGTTATCAGATTCGAATTGATTCCATTTTGATAACTCTTTCTTTTTTGGATCAGATAGACAGTAAGACTTATTCCAATTACAACAATTATAATGGCTGCAACAATACAACAAATAAAAACAATAGATAAGCCCGAAGAATATAATAAAGGATATTTTTGGGATATGTTTTCAATTGTGAAAATTCCCTCTTTTGCTGTAACTGTTATCGTCATTTCTGGAAAATACCATTCTGAATCATTTTCAGAAATTGATTGATTTGCCTCAGGTTCCCATTCAATTTCAACATTACTTGAAACGTATATATCCTCATTATAATAGAATTTCGTGTAAATAAATATTTCTTCATTCTTATCTAAAGTTGTTTGGAACTTATATATAGTATTATTATAATACTCGCTATCGGTATTATAAAAGAGATCAACATGCTTATCTCTCTTATATTTCAAAGTCTTTCTTAATGGACTGACAATTTGAATTCTCGAACCTAAATCTGTTTTTTTCTTCTTATTTTTATTGACCTCAATAATCTGTTTCAAATTAAATTTATCTTTATTTTTAGTTGAAACAATATTTATAGTTCCACTCGTGCCTTTCCAGCTAGAATTTGGTATATTTTGGTTTTCCTGATAAAATGAAATATCAATTTCCATAAATTGAATACGACAACCATCTGTTGAAAGACATGTTACTTTAGATATAATTTTTGCAAAATGTACATGATCTCCAAGAACCGCTAATGCATTTTTAACTGTATTCGTTTTATTATATTTAATTTCAAATAGCTTAATTTCATATGGCATTGCTGATATCGTTTCATATTGACCTTTTCCTGCAAGCATCATTGAACCTTCAATACACGCAAACTGGTCTTTTTTCAGATCTACGAATTTTGGACGTAAATCTGCAGATTCAATTTTTTTACATTCTGGGAATATGTCTTCTGGATATGTTATTGTTGGCTTTCTCTGAGACATGCAAGTTATAGCAAAGAAACTAATTATCATTTAAAAAAATGTGAAAATTTAGGACTTTAAGATGTAAATTAAAAAGAAATTGTAAATATTATATAATAACAATATTCTGGGAAAAAATTGTATTCGAAATAAGATTCTTTCACAATATTGAATGCATTCAATTTTCAAATCGCTTGCTGAGCCTTTTGAAATCGATACGCTGATCTTCCAAAGAATTATATAATGAAGTAAGTTTAGCACACTGTAGAACACTGTGTGATGTTATCGATAAGGATAGAGAGATTTGCAATTTAATTTCGAAACAAAGATACAACATATCTAGAACTAATACCAATAGTTCATTAACATGAAGAAGAAATAACATATATGAACTACATTGTTTTTAATTTTTCAAAAAGATTTTATATCTATCTTTGAATAATACTAATATTGAGCTTTTGAAGCAATCTTATAATATAAGATACGATTCTGTGATTGATGGCATGCGTTAACTTAACATCAAATTGCTAATATAATAAAATTGTAATATTCATTATTCAGAATTTGATCGGAAAGTCTATTTCTGCACAAAATTTAATCTCATATAAATTGGTATATTTTATTCTCAATTTGACTAAGAAAATTTTAGAAGATTAAAATTTTAGTTTTTATTAGCTCATTATTCGATAAGAACATCAGCAATCAATGATGATATCTATATTAATTCAATGTGATGCACTCCTTGCAAACATAGCCCAAGTTCATTCCTTTAGAACAAAAATTGTATTTCCACAATGATCCAAACAAAACATATCAATAATTAAATAAATAAGATTAGTTGCAGATTTATATGATGCTAATGTTTACAACCTTCTTGTTATACATTCAGAAATCATAATACTCTAAACGAATAAGCTTCTATTAAACCTTTAACTTTCTCTTTGATTTCCTTGAAAATAAAATATTTAATGCCACATCTTAGTATAATTTTAACATTATCGTATTCTGGTAACGTTGTAGATTATGCAAATCTATGAAAGTGGACATATATCCTATTTAGGAGTTCGCCACAGAGCATCAAATAGAGTTATGCTTGTATAAATGAACTAATATAAATATTTGAAACAAATTGCTCGAATTTTCAATGATATCATAGAGCAATCTGAATATAACAGAGTAGGTGAAAAAAATATCTTTAAAGTAAATAAAAAATAATGCATTATTTACTTAATGTCATTGGGGAAAAAAAGAAGATCATTTATACTAATGTTAATACTTTTAAATTGTGTCATAATGTTGATTCTTCTTATTCTTGATTAGATAAATCGCAACAATTGGAACCACAATAACACAAATAACGCCAAGGACAATAAAGAATATGGCAACACCAGAGAGACCTGAAGAATGAGTTAATGGGAAATCTTGATCAATGTTTCCTTTTGTGAAAATTCCTTCTTCTGTTGAAAGTGTTGCAGTAATTTCAGGGAAATACCATTCCGTTTCACTTCCTGAGCTAAGTGGCTTCCATTCAAGGGAAACATGTCCTTCAAGAGATACATCTTCACCTCTGTTATATACATTTAATAACTGCTCAGATTCCTTATCATTAAAGTCAGAAAACATATTAAAGGTAGTTGAAGCAGATATTTCACCTGATGTACTTTCATGATCCTTAATGTTATTATGTTCGAAGTCACCATACTTTGATCTCTTCCATTTCATAGTCATTTGTTGGGCTGAAATTACAGTGAAGTCTGTTTCATCAAAGACATCTTGTGTTTTCTTATTCTTGTTGATTGTGGCATATTGACTAAGTGTGAATTTTCCTTTGTTTGCTGTGGAGACAATGAATCTTTTTCCATATGCATATGATAAGTTGCCTTTGTTCTTATTTGTTCCATATTCAACTATTGAATGTGAAACTCTCATGAATTGAATCTTGCAGCCATCGTCCTCAAGACATTCCACTTTGGAAACTGGGTATACGTTGACATGAACTTCATTTCCGATAACTGCTAATGCATTTTTGACAGTTTCTGTTTTATTATATTGAAAATCTTCGGAATTTTGAACTTCGTAAGGAATTGCTCCAGTGACTTGATAATCTCCCTTGCCTGCAATCATAATTGATCCAAGAATGCATAATAAATCGCCCTTGTTAATTGATTGGATTTTTGGCTCGAAAGTATTGCGTGGTTGGACGAAACTTTTACATTCTGGGAAAACATCTCTTGGATCTGGCACTGAATTGACTTTACGGGACATGTGCCTTAGTGCAAAGATACTGAAAAGCATCTAAAATTAAAACTGAATCAATTGTGAACTTTACAATATTTATTGGTTAATCTTATGAAAAGCATCTATGGATTTCCATTATTTTTTTCAACTGAAAAGCTGATCAGAAAATTTGTTCATCGTTTTTTGTAAATCATTCAATTTCTTATAGGCAAACAGAATCTTTCTCAATGCAAAAAACTTTTAAAAAGGAATGGTAGTCTGTTCTCTATTAACATCAGAAAAAGGGAATTTAGTCTTATATTCTAAAAACTATGATTTTTTCTAAAAAAATCAAAAAATTAGTTTACAACTATCGAAGATCGGTTTGCTGAATACTTTTTAAAGATTGGATTATTAATAATCTCCTCTTGAAATTGCAAATACTTACTAGTCATCGAAAGAATGAACTATCATGTTTGGCAATTTCTAGTGGGAGTAGAGCATTTTGGGTAGCATATATGGGATATATCTGCAATATGCTCTATTTCCACAACTAAACGAAATCAAAGAAAAATTTAAACGTTTTTCTGGTAAATAAGGATCGAAAATGGATCATTATTGAATTATTTGATTATATATTGAGAAAACAGCATTACATTTAAGGTGCTTTTTTTTATGAGATCAGATCTGATCTGTATTTCTGTCATCGGATCATAAAAATGAATAGGACATCGCCAGATAGAGGATAAAGCGCTTAAGTATTATTACCATTATTTTAGTCTTTGTTTAGAAATAACCAAACAAAACCAAAACAAATATTCAATATCGGACGATAATATCGAAAAGAATTTTCACAATATTTTTTGCTTTACTATTCATGGCACAACATGTTAAAAATCTTATTTCATCAGAAGATAATGAAAATAACATTTGCACATTGCGCCTATTTGGATTGATAAAAACGTTATAGAACTTCTTATATCGCATGGTACATAAACTTATAAGGGAAAAAAAAATGATGACGGAAATACTCCCTTTAAGAGTCGGACTTTCTAACATTGAGATATGTATTTCTTTTCTCATTAAGTATGATGTAGATGTAAATTCAAAAAACAATAGTGGTCACACAGCACTTTATTATGCAACAACACATAATAAAATTTTTAATGTATGATGATATAAATTCTGAATATGATAGAAGACATGCGCCATTCTTAGTGCTGTAATTAACGAAAATCTTTTTGTGGGACATATAGCAGTAATTTGCTATGTTGTTTATCATCATGGAATTGTATGAATCGTGGATTCTCATTGCCCAAATTTATGACTAAACAAATCATTATATAAATACAAACTTAGTTCCCAAATGTTTGTTATAATTCAGAAATGCTGGGAGAAGTTTTATATTGTATTACTTGCTTTTTTAAACACTTGACAGGATATGTATAGTAATTATATATACTGACTCCTTTAATTAGATGATCATTTCACAAAACAATTTTCACTTCTAGTGAAACTAAATTAGCTTATATAAACTTGCAAAGAAAACACGGTTTGCACTTATAAAATCGTCATATTTATTGAATGGAAATATGAATTTTAGAAAATGTTGATGTTTTTAAAATAATATTGAATTTACAATTTTATTCTGATTATTATATTTAAAGTCTATTAAATATATTCATAAATAGTGATATTTCTCAGTTCAGAAGATAAATAATTGTTAAAAATAATTTCAAAGATAGAAATTTAATATAAATTCAAAACAAACAAATTAATGCTAGCGTATTATTGCTCAAGTTGCAATAATTTCTGGTAATCGATGTCGCGGAGATGAAGAATGCATTGTTTTCTTCTATCATTAGCTTGTGATTGTTGAACATTAGCAGTTGCAACGACTTTACTGTTTTCTGTATGTAGTCCGACCTTTCCATCTCTTACAAGGTGAGAAAGTTCAAAAGCGTTTTCGACACTTTCTGAGAAACCGGCTTTTGTAGCAATTACTTTAGATACAGGCATATCGCCATCTTTTTTAAGTCGGTCGCATAGTTTTCTTGCTCTTGCAAGTAATTGGTTAGCAATTGCTTGTGACATATCTTTATTTTTAACTTCTTGCTCTTCCTCGATAACATCTTTGCCTTTTCTCTGTGTAGGAGCTCTCTCCCTCTTTTTAACTTCAAATTCCTCTAGACCGAATAAGAATGGTGTACATATCGGAGCAGTAAGTGATCTTCTTAACGCCCATTCGCCAATGGCATCCCAATCTAAGTACCTGCCGTCTGGAAACATAGCCATCATCTTTTGGCGTACGTTATTGAAGGTGAATGGCCTTGGACCAAGATTTACGTTTGAAGATTGAGTAACGGCTGTTTCTGTGATAGTACGAAGTGTTTCGCAGTCCTTCGCAAATGTCGATGGAGTACGTACATCTTGAAAATATGAATCATTTTTGTCTAAATAATTTGTCAACATCTTTGGATTTTGAGACATAATGATTTCTTCACTCGTTTCATGAATCTGTTTGTTGAGTTCTCTATAATCTTGAAGAAGTCCCACAATTTGTCCCTTCTGAAGCTTGATTTGGCTTTTTTGGCTGAGTTGAGACATTCTAAAAAGTGACAAACTTTCGCGGGAAAAATTGAATTCAGTGAATAATGCCAAATTCGAAATTCTTGATATATGCGACTTCGAAATTTTGCACGAACCAGATATTTGTTTTGTGAGTTAAAATAAAAGTGACAACTCTAAACGTACAAATGAATAGAAAATTGGGAAGAAATAAAAATCAAAATATAAGGAATCATCTTTGATCTTAGATAAAGTGGTTATTAATATAATTAGCATTTAAATAAAGAAATAACAAAACAAAGGAAAAATAAAATACAAAATCATTTTTCAGACATAATGGCAGCAAATTCATCATATAGATTGGTATGTTGCGGTCCTAAAATGTGCTTTATTTTCTTCAAAGTCTCAGCATTAGTACTATTTGGATTGTTATTATGTCGCTGAATTTCTTGAATAAGGAAATTGAAGTCTGAATACGTAAGCTGTTCTTTTGCTTTTTGCAAGAGTTGCCCAGACTTACCAGAAGATCTTTTTTGTGTAGTTGGTTTTGGAATTTTTGAAGTATGAGGACTATGAATTGTTTTTGGTGATGTATGAATAGGTTCATCAAAAGAAGGAGGCGAATTTGAAATTTGCGGGGGTTGGAATTGCGTTGGAGTTGTATTTCCATCCAATAATGTTCTGAGGGATTGATTTAACTGATTGTATTTTGATATTTCAAGTTCTTTTTCTTTTAACTGCTTAGATAAAGAAGCATTTAATTTTCTAAGTTTTTCGCATTCGTTTGTGAGATCATTCATATCGGACTGCAATTGAACATTTATATTAACTGCTTCTGAGAGCTGTGACTGTAATGATGTAACTTGATTTTGCAAATCAAGTGCACGTTTTTGCCAAATTTTGGCTTCTTTAGCGCGCTGCTGCTTCACATTTTCGATAGCAATTTGAAGTCCGCTAACAGCTGCATCTAGTTGATCATTTGGATCAATATCAATCATGAAAAATGAAAAATTTTCAAAAAATAAATTTTGGCCGAGTTTCCATTTCTAATATGAGCGCATTTTCATAAATTTCATATATTCAATTCCTCAAATTTTTTTGAATGTTTTCTATTATCTTTTTCTCTAGATTCTCTTACTCTACCGACGATGACGATGATGAAATGTTTGTATGGGGAGATATTTCTAAGAAGTTCCAGCCCAAATCAATAGATTGGAGTAAAGCGCCATTATATGATGTCATTATTCTTGGAAGTGGACCAGCAGGAAGTACTGCAGCACTATATTCTGCTAGAGCGGCACTGAAAACACTTGTATTTCACGGCCATCTCCTAGGCGGTCAATTAACAACTACCACAGAAATCGAAAACTTTCCCGGATTCACAGGAACCGGAACTAATTTAGTGAACAAAATACAAACGCAAGCGACAGCAGCCGGTGCAATCTATAAAAAAGAATCAATTACAAAAGTAAATCTCACAACAAGTCCGAAACGAATAGAAACTGATTTAGGAAACGCATATTTAGCTCATTCAATTATTATTGCTACCGGTGCAAACCCAAGATTTTTGAGTTTAAAGAACGAAGAAAATTTCCGAAACAGAGGATTATGTGTTTGCGCTACATGTGATGGTGCCCTTTACGCAAACAAAGATGTTGCCGTTGTCGGAGGTGGCGATTCCGCAGTTCACGAATCGATATACTTAAGTAACATTTGTAGCTCAGTTAAACTCTTTGTCAGATCATCAGAATTACGTGCGTCAGCAGCCATGAAGCAAGTCCTTGCAAAATCTACCGTTGAAGTAATCTATAATACCGAAATCAAAGGTTATTTAGGACAACAATTTTTAACAGCTGTTGATACGAAGAATTCCAAGACAGGAGAAGTAAAGAGATATAAACTATCAGCTGTGTTCCTTGCCATAGGACAGAACCCTGCAACAAAAGAGTTTGAAGGACAGCTAGAACTCGATAAAAACAAATACATTGTTCTCAAAAATGGAGCTGAAACTTCTGTAAAAGGAGTCTTTGCTGCTGGAGATGTTGCAAATCCTGAATATAGACAGGCTATTTATGCTGCTGGGACAGGATGCCAAGCTGCCCTTCAGGCAGAAAAGTATATATCACAAGTGAAAGCTATTTAAATTTATTTGTAAACTTTTTTTTGTTTGTAAATATTAGAGCATGTACCACTTTTTGACATGCACCCACTTTTTTGATTAAAGATGTTCAAATTACAGGTTTATTGAGCATCTGAAATAATATTATGACTTGGTATAACGTTTCCATTTAAAATTTGTTTATCTTACAGTGAAACCTAATTCAGGAGACAAGTTTCTTTTAATATATATATTTTCAGTTTTCAAATTTGGGCATAATTTCCTTAGACTTAGCGCAAAATATAGTCGAAATCTGAAATGCTTTGATCAAGCATGCTTAGAGATATATAAGACTTCTTGTCGTTTGATTTATCGTCAATTCCACCGTAGTGGGGTATGATTCAATTGAAGGAGATTCTCTGTTTCCTTATCGTTCTCCACTTATAGCAAGCTTATTTGTCGCTTAGTTAGATGTAAAATGGAAAAGTAATAAAAATCATTCTTAAAATTAAAGCGTGAATTATATGTTTTATACTTCTTATAAAACTCATCTTGGAAGATGAAAGTGATGTATATTATGCATAACATCATTTTTGTGCACCGTGTGAAATAAGAAGTTTTGCCATTTCTTTATTATTGCTATATGCTGCAAAATGAAGAGCTGTTTGACTAAATTTATTTTTTTTTTCATTAATATTTGCACCATGTGAAATAAGAAGTTCAGCTGTTTCTTTATTATTGTTCCATGCTGCGATATGAAGAGCTGTTTCTCCATATGTATCTTTTTCATTAATATTTGCACCATATGATATAAGAAGTTTGGCCGCTTCTTTACTATTGTTCAATGCTGCAAAATGAAGAGCGGTTGCTCCATCTTTATATTTTCCATTGATATTTGCACCATGTGAAAGGAAATATTCTAAAAGGGATGGAATATTAAACATCACTGAATAAACAAAGCATTGTTTAAAATCATTAGATTGATCGAAATAAACTAAAAATGATTCAAGATTCTTATATTTTTCGCAATCATTTAAGTTGATTTTAATATTGTATTCATTCATCAAGAAGGTAACAAAATCAATGTTGTGAGAAATAATTGCATATGGCATGCATTTTTCATTTGGTTTCTGATATTTCAAACATTCACTCATGATCTCTGGATTTCCTTCTAAAAATGAAAATTGAAGACATACTTGAGTTATTTCTGAGTTAAATTTCGTTCTTAATAACTTGAAACAATCAACTGCTCCATGATAACAACATAATTCAAGTAATGAGTATCCTTCGTAAGAATACGGATATAAATCACTTTTGAGTGTTTGATCTTTATCAAATCCATCTCTTTCTGTGAATGAGATGAATCTTTCTTTGTCATTATTCATAATTGCTCTGTAAATTGTATTCTCTGTATGAATGTCCAGTTTTAATTTTTTCGAAATTCGAGATTTATTTTTTTTGAAATCACAAGATTTGTCTAATCTAATTCGATATTCATTATAAAATAGGATGTTTGAAATACGTATGACATTATTTACCTCTTTGACATGATATTCATCAGATATGAGTTTGGCAAGAGATAAATATGACTTTGTATAGCGATTATTATACGGAATGACATTTAAAATATCTTCGATTACATTTTTTGGAAGATATTTCATTGAATCAATCAATTCTGTTTTGATCATTTTGTAAATTGTTTTTAATTCTTCTTCTTTTTCAGTTTTCAGTTGATACAATGCAATATATAAATCAATGTGGTATTTATAGATACTTCGCAAAAAAGGATATATATTCGAAAAAAATACAACTTGAGCTAATCTAAACTTATTTTTTGAGTCAATCTAACTATTTGTTCGATTTTAAATCTAATTGAATTAACACAGATAACACTGTCTCAAAATTTTTGAATGAATCTATATCACAAATCATGCAAGTTTTCAGCTGATTAAAAAATGGCATGTCATTATCTCAACTTGAATCTATTTCACTAGTTTGAGTGGTAATTGACCCTTAACTATCTTTAAAAATGAGAAGATAGCACATTGCGAGCTTTGTTGCAGCCATATACATTATTTATGAGTCTAAACACGATATTTTATTCTTGCAAATATTAATATTTTATTCTAACAAACATTAATATTAACTTCTGTGTTATGAAGTTTATAAAAAAAAGAGGTTCTGCTAATTTCAAACTTCAATTATCACAATATGAAGAGTTACAAAATGGCAATTAGATAATGATATCATCCAAAATCGTCATTAACTAATTTTTCTAAGAGCATTTTACCTTCAATTTTCTTTTGTCTCTTTCGAACAAATTGGACTCTAATTGCTACAATTGTAATTGCTGTAACGATAATAGTACATGATACAGCAATAATAACAATATAAAGTTTGGGAAGTTTATATTTTTCTTTTTCTTTATAGTTTGGACACTGAGTTGTTGTTTGGTTAGGTTTAACATCTCCGATTTGTTTATTTGGATAATATTTATAAACAGTGATGTTATTATATGACTTCGCATTTTGAAGAAAATTGCCTTCAACTGTTTGATTGCCACAAAACAAAAAGCTGTTGATATCTGTATTCGAAAATGATTTGTTATTAATCTCTTTTAAGTTTCCAAAAATACTTATATCAACTTTTTTAGGCGGCGTGAAATAATCATTGATGATTGATTCTTCTCCATGAGTAAAGATATTTATATTTTCAAGATTTTCGAATTGCGCAAGAGATGAATATTCCTTGATTGATGAATCAAATGTGATGGATTTGATAAATGATTTCATTATATGATTTTGATATATATTATCATTTGGATATGAAATAATAAGATTTTCAATATTGTTGCAGTTTTCGAAAACACTTTGATCAAAAGAACAATTAGTTTGAATAATAATTTCTTTTAATGATGTGCAATTAGAGAATGAACTATTTCCTAACACAATAAGACCTTTTGGTAAATTTATTCTCAGCAATGATATACATCCAAAGAAGGATCTTTCGGAAATTTCACTAAGGATATCTGGAAGACTCAATTCTGTCAAATTATAGCAATATGCAAATGCTGATTTTTTAATAACTTGAAGTGAACCTGGGAAAATTATTGATTTCAATGAATAACAATTTTGGAAAGAATACTCTCCAATTGATGCAACTCTATTTGAATTAATAACTACTATTTCAAGTGAATAACAATTGCGAAAACAACTATCGGAAATTTCCGTGAAATTATTTGAAAGTGTTATATTTCTAAGTTGAAAACAGTTACAGAATGAATATTCATATATTTTCACAACTGATTGTGGAATTTCAATATTAGTTAGACAACTGCAGCCATTGAATGCATTATTTGCAATACGAGTAACTTTATCAGGGATTTTGATTTCACGTAAATTTGTGCAATTGAAGAATAATCTTTTGTAAATTAAGTTCATTTCACTTGGTAATATCATCTTCTCTAATGATGTCATTCCACTGAAACAATCTTGACCAATATCTGCTGATTTACTTAAAAATGTTAAACTTTTAATGCTTGAACAATTCTTAAATACATCAGTGCCCACAAATATTAAAGACTCAGGAAGTACAATGCTTAATAATGAACGACAATTAAAAAATGCTCTATACTCTATTTTTATGAGTTTTGAGGAAAGTTTTATATCCTGCAAATTAATACAATTACTAAATGATAATGTACATATACTGTCAACTTTATCAGGCAATATAATCGATTTCAATTGAAAACAAGAAGAAAAAACATTAGTATTGATTGTATCAAGTTCTGGAGGAAGTTTAACATCGACGAGTTTATGGCAACCGGAAAATGAATTATCACCAATATCAGAGGTTGAATTTGGAAATTCAATTCTTTGTATATTTTGACAATTTTCAAAAGATTTTATATCAATTTTTTTCAAAGAAGAAGGTAAAGAGTCGAATGTTAATTTTTGGCAATTAGAAAATGCAGAATTCCCAATATATTCTATTGTATCTGGTAATAGTATTTTACCAAGATTTATGCAATTAAAAAAAGTTTTATCCGAAATTTTTGTTAAAGATGTAGGAAGTTGTATTGTTTCAAGATTTGTGCACTCTTCGAACGAACTTTCCATAATAGATGTAATATCTGAATGAAATATCACTGTCTTCAAGTTTGCACAATGTGAAAAAGCGCGAGACGAAATGTTTTTTATGTTTTTGGGTAAATCAAGATATTCCAACTTTGAGCAATAAATAAATGTTGCCGTACTTATTGTAACTAATGAATTTGGAAATATAATAGTTGAGAAATTTTGATAATTAGAATACTGATAGGGTTCTGTTTGAACTGTACCTTCTGGAATGACTAGAGTATCATTATCAGCGTAAGCACAAGCTAATTTAAACAAAAAGCTGATGTAAATAAGCATTATCAACAATTTTAATTACACTGAAGTTCCTAATTTACATTTATTCAAATTTTTAACCTAAAATTGATCCGAAATTATTATAAAAGAAAATTGGAAAATCGTAACTGTATAATACAAGGAGTATACCGGTTCAAAGAAGACAATATAATTGGAAATTACTACATGCATAACCAATATAATTTCGATATGCTAACTATAACATAAGCAATATGTGGTCCATTTGATTGGTCTCTCTTCAATCCAAAAGACTTGAAAAATCTTAAAAAAAATAATTTTTAAAATATAAAGTCTTTATTTAACATAAACAATAGAATTTCATTCGGTTATTGTATTAACGGGTAATTTTTGAATCTTGAATTCAGGTAATTCAATTTTATTGTATTCTCCAAAAGATACGATTTCTTGGATTTGGCTTTGGTATAGACACTCTGTTCGTTGATCCTGGGTTGCATGGAGCTGTCCGAGGGCCTTTTTATGTTTTTTAGATATTTTTTCGTAACGGAAGTTATATTTGTAAAATCTTTGTACTGTATATTCAGATGGGTAGGAAATTCTCTTTGATAAGTACCTCAAGGCGTCCGAAATTGGTCTTTTATCAACTTGATCATTTTTCTGTACATTTTCACGAATTTGAGCATCGTAATAGTTTGACAATAGTATTGTTTCTTGCTTTTGGTATTCTTCGGCAGTATTAAATCTGTCAATAGCCTGTTCGCGTAAAATCTTCTTTAATTCTGGATTTTCGAGTTCAATTTTTTCTTCAAACGCTGGAGCAAAAGGTGGGATGCATTCTAGAATATCAGATGAAACTGAATCTATTTGTTCTGGTTGAGTATTATCATTTTCTTCTGTAAATTCTTCAGTAGGTGCTTGCTTTTTATGGTATTTGAGTACCGTTGTTGGATTATCTGATGGTTTGTAGTTCATCATTTCCTCGTGAAGCTTTCTGAGATTCTTTGAAGTATTATTCAGTCTCTGGTAGTTATAGAATTTAATAGTTGGTGGAACAGGTACAAAATCTTCTAACGGTGGGGCAGTAGACACAGCTTTTGTATCTTCTTGGTCAGCTGCCGCCATTTTTATAAAAAAAAATCTGTATCGTCCTCTTTTTTTTTGGATAATGTTAGGAATGAATTTTAGATTTCATCATGTCAAAGGATAAATATATCATTTATCATAAGCATATTTGGCGTAGCCATGTATATGTGACTTTCATTTAGAATTGAATTTCAAAATTAGAAAATTAAGCTTGGGTAATAGAAAAGTGATTTTAAAATGTCGTTATATTTATTTTAATATAGATTATGTGAATTAAACATATTGTGAAATAACTTTTATTTTATTAGATTAGCTCTAAGAATTGATGAGCATCATAATTGTGAATATATATGATAATTATATATTAAGAGGGAAAATATCAATTATGAATTAGTTTAGGTAAATTTTTAATTAATGAAAATTAAACTGCAATTGTTTGCATCTCAATGTGTTCTTTACTGGATTCCTCATTAGTGTTGGCAAACTTCTTCCTGTAAATGAAGAAACAAACAACAGCGATGATTGCAATTCCAAGTATGATTCCTATGACAATCCCTGCAATTGTACCGGATTTCTTACCAGATTTCTCTGTATTGATATCATCATTATGATCATTATTACCTGGAGAAGTATTAGCTGTTGATGGCTGAGGAGTGGATGAATCAATTTTAGATACGTCCATCCCACCTAATTGGTCATATTTGTATTCGGAAGTAGTTATAATTTCTTTACATGATTTGGCATTCTTCAAGAAATCTCCTTCAATTTGATTGGTTCCATAATATGTGAATTTTTTAATCGCGCAATTGGAAAATGCTAATGGATCAATGGCGTTAATGTTATGTGCAATAAAAATTTCAACATCATCGCAATTAATAAAATATGCTGGAATGATCATATCATTGATATTTTCAATGTTAATATATTGCAACTTAGTAAGATTTGTCAGTGGTAGCAAATATTCTGCATCATTTACTTTTCTAAGTGAGTTGTATTTCGGAATATTGTAAGTTATTGATTTGATCTTTTCTTTAAAGCCGAGATTATTGATAAGATCAAAATTTGATCCTTCAAATGTAATTTCGCTAATGTTGCATGAATAAAATGCATCAATCCCGTTTATTGTATGAGATAATTTACTTGTTATTTTTGTGAGTTTACTACATTTAATAAATGCTGTGACATTAATTGTTGTAAGACTATTGGGAATTGTTATGCTTGTCACGGAACTGCAGTTATAAAATGCATGTTCATTAATTGATTTAACACTTCCAGGTATTATAATGTTTTTTATCTTATAACAATTAGCAAATGCATAGTTATCTATTGTTGAGATGTTATCTGGTATTGATATACCTGCTAGATTGAAACATTTATAAAATGCATATTTTCCAATTGATACCATTTTTTCAGGCATTGAAATAATCACCAGATTAAAATAGTTTTCAAATGCATTATTTCCAATTGATACAACTTTTTTAGGTATTGATATATTTGTTAAATTGCTACAATATTGAAATGCTTGATTCTCGATTAAAGTTAAATTATCTGAAAGGGTTACTGTTTGTAATAATGGACAAGATATAAACATTGCTTCGGAGATTATTTTCACACTATTTGGAATTACGATGCTTGTTAATTGTTTGCAATATCCAAAGGCAAAAATATCAATAAAGTATACAGTCGACGGAATTTTAATACTTTGGATATATGTACCATATAATGCATATTCCATGATTATGTTAAGTTATTCAGGAAGTTTGATATTTTTGAGACGTTTGCAATCTGAAAATGCGCCAAGACCAATTCTCAGAATTGAATTGGGAAGAGTTAATTCTGTAAGCATAAAGCAATTAGAAAACGAATAATCTTCAATGGCATCTATGCTTGCAAGAATAGTTACAGATCTGAGATTACTTGAATCATCAAAGCACATTGTTCTAAGATCTTTTACTTTTGAAGGAATTATGATATTTTCTAATGCGCTAAAACTAAATGCTGAAGAGCCGATATATGTTACGCTCTCTGGAATTGTAATATGATGGAAATGCGTATACTTGAATGCACTGTCTCCAATATAAACAAGATTTTTAGGAAGTTTGATTGTCATAATAAATACTGCTCCCTCAAATGCACTCTTTTCAATTACGGTAACATCATCATGAAATGTAATATTTTTAAGATCATAGCAGTATGCAAATGTGTTTTCTCGAATAGATTTTGTACTTTTCTCTACTGTGTATTCTCCTTTCGGACAAATGACATATAGTTATAAAATATTACCTATGTTCCTTTATAATTCTGTTTGTTATAAAAATTCCGAATTCAATTTATTTTTGAAAAGTTTAGGTAAAATATTAATCTATTATATATCTCACAGAAGTGTCAAAAAATTGAGATAAACTCCTTTTAAACAATATCCGAGTGAGGTTTGAAAGTAAGTTAAAATTTTGAATGTAACATTTCACTTCATAGAACAAAAATTTCAGCATAGCAAATTTTTGAAATTAAGAATCACCACTAAAAATGTGACTAAAACTTAAAATGCGAAGCAACCAAAACAGACGGACAATTGTCTACGGATCTGTTTTAAATCTGATTCGAATAAACGAATACTACTTTAAGGGTGCACCCGTATGTACGTTTATTTGAGAGGAGGAGGATTACCCTCTCAATTTTGAGGGATTCGTTAGTTTATTTTCTCGATGAATATGCAATAAAATTTGATTTTTACCTTATCAATATACTTCATATAATATACACATGTTCATGTAAAAACTTTTTTCCAAAATCCTCAGTAGGGTTGTTAAAAATATCAAAAATTAGCGTTTTGAAGACACCATGGTGTCTTATAATTTTCCCTTCCTTATTGGCGTGTAGAAATAAATGCGCCAATAGATTGAAGAAGAAGAATTGTTTTTCTCTTAATGAACTTTAATCCTTTTGATATAAGAATATTACAAACATTAATATAATTTCGATTTCGGAAATTAAATTTCCAAATTTTTTGTCGATTTCGGAAATAACAGGATCCCGCATCCAACACGCAACAACAAAACACAAAACACACTTTTTGGTTCTTTCATCGTTTTAATCGTAATTTATGTAATACATGATTTGGATAAATTTTACAAAAATAGAACCTATATTATATTCTTTTCAAAGATTCTTGCAAATCATCAAAAATAATTGTATTTTAAAAAACGATCAAATTATCCTTTCATTATTTTAAACTTAAATTAGTTTTTATGATTGACTAAAGCAATCATATTTATTCATCATTAAATAAACAAAAAAAATAATATTTGAGGGTTATTTCAAAAAAAACACATTGAATTTATTAATTTGTCTCAATTTCAGTATTATAAATTTTTATAATTTCAATATTTTGAAATACACTTTTTAATATTTCAATATTTATGATATTTCAATGTATTAAGTGGTCTCAAATTGAGCTTCTCAAATATAAGTTGGCCTATTCAAATAATAAAATTAAATAATATTTAAAATAATAAATAAAAGTGATTGAGGTCATAGCAAAACGGCTGTTTGGAGGCAGTTAGGAGCTAGCGGTTGAAGCGATAACATTCACAGCCAACATCTACGGTCAAGCGGCAGCATTCAAGGGCAACATCTACGGTCAAGCGGCAGCATTCAAGGGCAACATCTACGATCAAGCAGCAGCAAGGAGCTACGGCAGCAACGAACTACGGCAGCAAGGGGCTACGGCAGGTCAAGCGGCATCATTCAAGGCCAACATCTACAATCAAGCTGCAGCAAGGAACTACGGCAGGTCAAGCGGCATCATTCAAAGCCAACATATACAATCAAGCGGCAGCATTTAAGGGCAACATCTACGATCAAGCAGCAGCAAGGAGCTACGGCAGCAAGGGGCTACGGCAGGTCAAGCGGCATCATTCAAGGCCAACATCTACAATCAAGCTGCAGCAAGGAACTACGGCAGGTCAAGCGGCATCATTCAAAGCCAACATATACAATCAAGCAGCATCAAGGGGCTACAGTAGGTCAAGCTGCAGCATGGAGCTACGGCATCAAGGAGCTACGGCAAGTTAAAGATCAGTCAGATCTGGAAATATCTTTTTCAGGATTTCATTTGTCATGAAAAGCTTCAATAGGATTCTACACTTTATTAGTTAGTATACAAGTCTTGGGTATGGTGGCACTGCGTTCCACCTTACCCAGTACTTGTGAATTTGACACTTTACAAAACCGTTAACGTATATTTTACAACATAGATGCAAAAACTAACTTAACCTTAAATATTTACAAAGCCGCCAACAATTTCACCTCACTATCGTTCTCACTAACAACTTCACTAATGTTCTCATAAATTTTCCTCAATATCTTCATCATCAGTGTTAACCCTATTGTAGTCATACTTGAAGCCATAAACTTTCTCTAACTTCTTAACGTACAATTTACATAACTTACCTTCGTCATCGTATGGTTTAATGATATAACTATTTCTATCTTTATACACAGTCAATGAAAAGTCAACTGGTCTCGGATGTATTTGAAAGAACATGTTATGCTCAGGAAGGAAGAATAAATGTTTAAATATATGTTTGTTATATGTTTTGATTTGTATGAGTTGCTTTTGTTCTGTCATTACATCCAAATAAAATAAAAATAATTTTAAAAAATAAAATAAAAAATAAATGATATCACCACCCTCACACGTATGAAAACATAGCACAAAAATAAATTTAGGTGAAGTGGTGAGATCTCACCTCTTTTTTCACCTGTTTTTTCACCCTGTTGAATTCATTGCTTTATAACTCTCTTCCTTGGTTTCTTTTTAGTTGCTTTCTTCACGTCTGTCTCCAACTTGACTGTCTTTCTTCTTCGTCCGTAATGATACCAATTACTTCCACCAGTCAATGGGTCAAATGGTCGTTCATAAGGGTTTCCATACATTCCATAAGGTCCGTATGGATAAACTACTGGTAGAGAAGAAACATTTTCTTTAGTTCCATCGACTCTATTTAAATGCATTGTTTCACCTTTCATCTGGTCATTAAAGTCTTTTGCGTGTTTTGCAAACTCATCGTCCTTTCCTAAAGCATTTTCTGACTCAGTCGCAACCAAATTGGATGCTTTATTTATGAGCCCTATTTTATTTAATCTTAACTTCTTTGCAACCCAGCTCTCAATCTTCCCTTTATTTGCATCTAATGTCTTCGAAACCCTTCCTCACCTCATTTTATTTACTGCGTCATAAGCTCCAAGTGCTTTTGCTCCAAATGCTAATGCTTTTGTTCCCATTGCGCCTAAAGCTGCCCAAGCTACCATTTACACCATATTAAAATCATCTCTCTTCAATATTATCTCATAAAAGTTCTCGTTACTGGAGAAAGTCAATGAAACATAAGCGTTCTCACGGGCTTCGCCCTCACCGCTTTGCGGTCTATCTAACTTCTTTCTTATGTCATCTATACACTTCAAAATGTCTGAACAATTGCTAACATCTTCTACAACAGTTATTTCATCATGAATGACCTTTTAAGAACAAGCTCATTTAATATGCTATTAAAATCATCTCAATAATGAGTCCATCCTTTCCATCTTTAGGTAGCACAACATCTTTCATTGAAGAAGGTTCGACAAGTCTTATGTTAAACTTACTGACAAAGTTTGTTATACTATAATGCTTCGGTGGCGAATACATATAGTTTGAAAGACATAATATAGATTCTTCAGCAAATTCACTTATACTGGATTTTATAACAATGTTCTCACGAGACCAAATACCACCAATTGACAATCTTGTAAGCAATCCTGCTGAACCTTCTACTGTGTAAACGTCGATGGTAACATTCCACGAAGGTCATCTATTGACATCTTTGAGTCACTGTATTTAAATATTTTCTTAAAGCAATCGTCATTATCTAACCATGCAATAGCTTTGAAGTTTTTTCATTCGAATATACATCTGCCTTCATTAAATGTAAAACCTGACTTCTTTGCAGAGACGACTTTAAAATCTATTGAGTTTATTTCAAAATTATATGCTATGGTAACTTTCTGAAGGTAATGGATGTCCTTCCGCAGTAAGTTGTTCTCTCACTACCGTTTGAAGCTTTGTGTTAAAAACTTTCATGTCATCTCCTGTATCTAAGTTTACATACACAGCAACAGGAAAACTATCTTGCTTCTTTGTTTCATCATTATACCTCAAAACATTAAAGTTCTTCAATAATATTGTCCTTCCTGCTGGAATACTTCTAACTTGTCTGATTTCAATAGCTTTCTCACCTCCTACATACTCTACCCAGTGTCTTGGATATTCATAAGTATACTGACTTTCTTGAATTTTGGTTGGTTTCATCATAACATGTTCATAGTATATCTTTATACTCTTGTCAGTTAGACTCGGTGCTATGTTCTGAATATTTCTGACTTGCATTTTTAATGGAGATAAAATGAAGCATTTAATACATGATGTAGATGAAGACATGAATGAAACTACAGACAAACTTAACTCTTCTCTCATTCTTCCTTTCAGTAAGGACTATGAGTTCTGTTCAAATGGTGTTTATTTCTATTGTGGAAAGATGGGTTCAGGTAAGACATTTAACCTCATTCGTCATATACTCATAACAGAGCGTTTAGGAAACGACTCTTACTATGACCAAATCATTATATCAGCAACTTCAGACTCTATGGACTCAACAGCGAAAACATTCATGAGTAAAGTTCAAGCATCTGTCGTTAAAGTTCCAGATAGCGAACTCATTGAATTTCTTCAACGTTACATTCGACGTAAGAGAAAATATTATGCTATTGTAGAGTTCATACAGTCAGGAATGCAAAAGACTTCAGAAGAGATGGAAAGAATTATTGACAAACACCACTTACGTCAGTACTCAGGAGTTTACGATATGAAACGACTGACAAACTACATTCTATCAAAACTTTCAAAATACCCCTTCAAAAAGTATCCTTCAAACACTCTGCTCGTTTGTGACGACTTCGCCGGAAAAGGTTTAGTGTCAAAACCAGACTCACCATTAGCTAACATCATACTAAAGTCAGACATTACCATTTAACTGTAGCAATACTTATGCAAACATGGCGTTTCCTTGCTTTAAACATAAAACGTCTCATAACTGACTTCGTTATCTTTCAAGGTTTCTCACGCTATGACATTGAACTCATTTGGAAACAGTCAGGTATAACATTACCTTTTGAAGAAATTTGGGAAGCATATAAGTCTCTCATCTCTCCTCGTTCATACCTTGAGATTCATATCATGACTAATACCATTAAAGTCAAAAATATTCCATGGGAACGACCAACATTGTTTTAAAGTTTAACCTTCAATTGACTGATGGTAAACAAATTCCATGCATCTCTGTCGCCATTTCTGTTAATATTTTTGCTGTCATTCATATCATCCACTTCCCCATCCGTTAGCTTTTGAGGATATGCGTTAGAATAGCTGTTCTTAAATGAAGGCTTTTCACCTTTGAGAGCATAAACTCTATAACTTTCTGCATACTTTATGTTTGAACCTCCTGAGCCATCATTGACATAAATTTTATAGGCTTCCACCCTTTGTTCATATTCCTGCTTCTTCCCTTTGCTCTTTTGTTCAGTAGTTCTACATCTTTATACACAGCTCCTGTCTCAGTGAATTCAACAATATTTTCATTCGTTAGCTTTACATTCAAACCCTTGTCGAGTATATTGTTCATTTCATACATATAAAAGGTTTTTATTCTATCTGAAATGAGAAGCAAATCCATCTTAGCTGGTGCTGTTAATGTTCCAATTGAACCAACATCAAATGTTGACTCACGAACGACAAACAATATTGTCATAAAGAACTATAGTTCAGAGTGTTTGAAAGAAAAAGAACCAGAGCTGAAATCCGTGAATTTAAACACAGCTTCAAACGCTAACGCTACATCAGATGTTAAGTTAGAGTATCCACCACTGGACCAAATTCTTTCAAGAGAAGCCAACGACAACCCTTACACAAATGTTCAAACAAATCCTTCAGATAACGTAGACCATTACCTTCTTCAGTTATACCAAACAATTTTACTCAAAGACGATAAGAAGCTTTTGATAAATCTTATAAGTAAGAACCAAATAATTCTAACAAAGGAGGACCTTGAAAATGTTATATCACGAATAACAGGGAAACAATGTGTCATTGACTATCTCGACCCTGAAATCGAATGCTGTGGTCAAACTCCACTATTCATGAAAATAGGTAACATCCGCATCATTGAAACACCAGGAACTACAGGAGTTGAGTTTAAGTATAAATATTCGAACGAGTATACAAAACTATCTACTTACTATAAGCTTTGTTTGAAATATGTTTTAGTAAATTAAAGCAACTTATAGTATCTATCCAAAACTTCTTCAACAGTATCGAACTCATCTTCATAATGCAAACCTAATCTTATTGACTTGGTGCAGTTTTCACTAACACAATATTTTTCTGTTCTCTTGACTGACATAACTAACTCATTTGTTTCATCAAACAGCAACAACCAAAGTTCATGACCTAATACATAACATTCATACTTTATATTTTTAGCTCTGAGTTCTCTTGTAAGCTGTTGCATTTAATATTTTCTAAAAAGTCAACTTCAACAGTCATTCGCACTGGTGCCTTCAGTTCTACAGGCTCTCCTTGAAAGTCAACAAGTCTGAATTGCATGTCTTTCAAATTATGAGGACTAATGCGAACCCATTTACCTAAATGAGTTGCTATGACAGGAACGTTTGGAATGAACATTGAATTGACTGCATAACAGAAGGATTTATATTCTACTGAACCTTTACTATTAACTCCTGAAATACCTGTGACATTAGCTATTTTAGACTCAATGTATAAACAATTACCATAACATACGTATGGAACAGATTTCATCTCAATCGTTTTGTCAACACTTTTCAAAGGAAATGTCATATGGTATGCACCCAAAAGAAGTTGTACTCTATGACTCATTCTTGGTATCTTAAACTCCTTCACATAACTGAATTTCAAAACTCCTGCAATAAGTTTAACATTCATTAAGTTTTCTTCGTTATCCTTGTTTATTGTAGTATTTATGAGAGCATTTAACACTCCAGCTAATGTTTCCATCTTATATTCTACATTATTGTGAAATCTTATTTCGTGCTTCTTTCCATCTATTTCAATCTCCATGAAATCTGTTTCATCTGTTATAACGAATGAAGCAATAGTATTAAAGTCAACCATTCTGAATGCAAGTGGCTCATTCTGTAGACCTAAGTTTGTTTGTAGCTTTACTGTCCCGTATTCGTTTGGGTCTGTACTTTGCAAATAGAACAACATTTTATTCTCATTAAAATATGAGTATAGCTGCATATGCGTATGAAGCTGACAGAGCTAAACGTTTATATTTTGGTCAATACTCTCTCACACTTACTGACAAATATATTGTTATCAGTGATGGAAATACCGAGAAATACATAACATGGAAGGACTATGAAAAGTTTGACCCTATTTTAACTCCATGTACTATGCCATTCATTGTAAATGGTGAAGTTGTCATGAAGAACGACACAACAGTATATAAGTCTGTATATGAAGCGTTAGAATATATGTTGAATTATAATCCCGAAAGATTTGACCCAAGCACTACACCATGTGCAATGCCTTTTATTAAGGACGGTGAAATCGTAAGAGTTCCGGATTCAACGGTTTACACAGCTGTTCAAAACAGTTTACAAAACATTTTAGCGAATATCTTTAATTCAGAAACTACAGAAATAAAATTACCATATATAACAGATGCTAAAGAAATTAAATCAAAAACGACAACATTATTTACGTCACTTAATGATTTAATGACTTATATCATTAATATTCCTGCACCAACTACAGCATTTGATCCAAACTCGACGGTTTGCAGTGTACCTTTCATAAATGACAGTTCATTAATTACTTTAAGGGATTCGACAGTAAATGAATCATTAAAGGCGTCATTAATGAAAATCATTGATTTTAATTCATTCATGAATACATATAATTCATTCATTAATGTTTCATATGCTTCTAAAGAAGGTGAGCCAAAAACTATCGATAAAGCGGTGTATGAAATAAAAGCATCAACGACGAAATTGAATTCGTTAACTTTTGACGGTGATAGTTTCGTTAATGACATAACATCGGGGAAAACAATTTTAACGAAAGAATATTTAAAATCTCATGTTAGTGAGTTCGTTGAAATTGAAAAAGAAGGTGGAATTAAGTTCGATCCACTGAATTTCATTTTCAGCTTAGCGAATGCGGGTGTTAGTTTCGCTGAATGGACAACTATACAGAGTGAAATAAATGCAATATGGACGTTTTTGGGGTCAAAAGCGGGAATGGGTGAGCTTGTAAATGCTGCAAGAACATTAGGTGAAACAGGAAATTTTGTAGATGGTTTTAAAAGACTTGTTTCAAATGTTTTAACAAACACAAAGAAATTATTTAGATATACCGTACATAACGGACGGATTTTCGAACAGATAGCAACAAACCCTCCTGTTATGGCTGCGTTGATGATGGTTAGAGATATAAAACCACGTAACGACGGGAACGAAGAACATGAACAACAGGATACTGGTCGGGTTATTCGAGACATTAAAAACGTGTATCCTGAAGTTATTGATTTATTTAGAGGTGTTAATGATTCAATTTCAAATCATTCTATAACCCTTGATGAAGAGAATAAATTAACAGATTATATATTCGTCATTATTGCAGAATTAATGAAGAGAATAAATGAAAAAGGAATTGGCGATATCATTAATGTCAGTGATGTAATGATGAAAAGAAATTTTGACTCATTATTTACAAAACCGAAAACAGAATATAGTCTTTATGACGTAATTACCGAATTAATGAAAAAGATTAATGATAATAAGAGTTCTGGCGGAAGAGTTGAATTAGAAGTGAATGAGATAGAAGAGAAATTAGATAGTAAGGCAGATAAAAACCATGTTCATTATATAAGTTCAGACGAACAGATTATAACGGACTACCATGGATATTTAACACGAAGTGATGAAGTGAAGACGGAAGATGTTAATGAAAGAAGATATAAATACATTCGTGCTAAAGGTTATGACATAAGCTGTACTGTACAGTATGACACGGGTAAAGCACCAGAAGCATTTAGTTATAACGATGAAATTTATGCCTCTACTTTCTCTGTTAACGGTGTATTAGTTGAACCAAGATTTACTTTGAGAGTTAAATCAAAAATAACGTTTGAAGATGCTATTAAAAGTAAAGCTGACAAAGTTGAACTCGAAGCAATGAACAAAGTTTGTAAATCTCATAAACACAATATCTCCGATATAAATGAACTTCAAGCTACATTAAATAGTAAAGCTGACAAAGAACATACACATAAATCCTTCACTACTGTTAGAGCAGACGACATAATATTGAACTATGATTTGGTTCAAATGCACCTTTAGAGAATCGAGTACAAGCGTAAAAGATACTCTTAACAATTTAGATAAGAGTTGCAGGAATATCGAAGATCATGCCAGAAACTTTGAAGCATACGAACTACCAGCAATGTTAGATAGTAAAGCTGACAAAGAACATACACATAAATCCTTCACTACTGTTAGAGCAGACGACATAATATTGAACTATGATTTGGGTTCAAATGCACCTTTAGAGAATCCGAGTACAAGCGTAAAAGATACTCTTAACAATTTAGATAAGAGTTGCAGGAATATCGAAGATCATGCCAGAAACTTTGAAGCATACGAACTACCAGCAATGTTAGATAAGAAAGCTGACAAAACAGAGCTTCAAACATTAAAGACTGAAATACTTCGAAATTATATCCTGTTGGTTCTATTTATACATCAATGAACTCAACAAATCCAGCAACAGTTCTGGGTTTTGGTACATGGCAGCAGATTGTAGACAAATTCTTATACTGTGCTAACTCTTCAAATCAAACAGGTGGTTCGAAGAAAATTAAAGAAGCAAACCTTCCACCGCACACTCATACAGGAACTACAAACTTTTCTGGTGACCATAGTCACTCATTAAGAGACCATCCATTATACAACTCAGAATATTGTGCTGGCAATGACGTTTTATCTCCAGATTATAACCATTCGGCAAAAAAGACTTTTCGACCAACTGAACCAGGAGGAAATCATTCACACACTTTCACAACAAATCCAACAGGCTCGGGTGCAGATTATATGCCACCATTTGTGACTATATTCGCATGGTACGCGTTCAATAAACACACTTGAGCCTTGACTCAAAGGATCTAGGCTTACCGCGTTCAATGAAATCTTTAACTTTACATAAATGAGCTTGAAAGAAGTATTCGAACAACATCCATGGAGGTCATTTAAGAAGTTCAATGAAGCTGCAAAGAGTTCGGGATTTACTAACAGAGCTGAAGTTAAAAAGTTCTTTGACAAAAATGTTGTACATCAAACAAAAATAAATCCTTACGACTACTTTTTACCAATTTACTCCAACACTCCTGACGCATACCAATTTGACACTCTCATTCAAAGCAGAAAAGGAGGACATAAACCATTCCTCATCTTCATTAATGTTAACACTCGTAAAGCTTTTTGCGTATATAATGAAAAATAAAGGAACTCGTGAAGTGTTAAGAGTTTTACAAAAGTTTGTAGCAGAACATAGCCCAAGTACTTTAACATCAGACCAAGACAGTGCATACCTCAGCAATGAAATCACACAGATTTTCTCATTAAGCATAACATAACTCACTACACTACTGAAGACCATAACCATAACATACTCGGCATCATAAACCGCTTCATAAGAACGCTCAGAGATTTAAATCAAGAGCGAGACTTTACCGAAGAAACAATGAAACATTTTCTCGAAGTATATAATTCCTCAACACATTCTACAACAGAACATACACCAAATTCAATGACACAACAACAAGAAAAAAGTATATACAAAAGAAACGAAGCCAAACACAAAATATCAGAAATTCAACACAATTTACCCTCATTCCTGGTACAAAAGTTCGTGTAGTTCTTGACGACAAACCGTTGACAAAGAAACGTTTAAGTTAAGTAGAAACTATTATATCGTAGACTCTACGCAAGGTAATGGATATCTTATAAAAGCTGCTGACGACTCTATTGCGTTTTACCCTCGACATAAATTAGTTGAAAGTAGTAATGGCAAACTTGCTGAAACCATTGACGAAGCAAAGCGAGGAGTGGTTATTGAAATACTTGGCTATAACATAAACGATGACACTTATAAAGTAAGATATGAAGGAGGCGTTGAAGATGTTATACCATCTAAGAACTTGAGAGAGTCAAAGTCAACACATCTGGGACCATTAGAGCGGGAGTACTGGAAAGACAAAAATAAGCCGGAAAGAATAAGAAAATTCTTCTAAACTTTTTCATTAGATGTAAATCAGACATGAATGAGAACAGTCATGATATCATTAATGGTACCATTTATTTTTATCATAAATTTACACCAAAAATATATTTTAGGTGAAGAGGTGAGATCTCACCCGTTTTTTCACCTCTTTTTTCACCCTCATGAATTTTCATGAATTTCCTTAAGATAGAAAAAATAAAGTTAGTTTTATTTTTATTTATTTTTTTTATTTTGTATAAAAGATATGATTTCAACAATCGGCACAACAACAATTCAAGCCACAACTACAGCACCAAACTCGCTAGTCATGAATCCTACGTCAATGTTGGTAGAGATGAAAAACTTCATTCCTTCTTCGTATACTTTCGAAACAAAAATCCAGAAGATAAAGCAAGAACTTTTAACAAGTAATTTAGACTGTACCGCACAGGATGAAGAAAATGAAGAATATCTTTATGACATGCAGGACCTCATCGACCATTTACCTAAACTACCTGAAATTCAGCAACAAAAACTAACCATTCCCGAATTTGACGAAATTGAAGTCAAAGCAACTGACTCGGTAGAAATAAAGAAGTTCATACGAAAGGTAAACTATGAGTTTCTAGGATATCATTGCAACCATAAAGTTATGGACAAAGATTGCGACATGGTTTATAAAAATATTTCTGACCTTTACAAATCCGAAGAATTTAAGACATACGACAACTTTGTTTCATTAGTTGCAAAATGTGTATGGCAGATAAGAGATAAAGATAGAAGAGGTAAGGTATGGAATGAACAGATAAAACCAGCAGCTTTTGAGTTAAAGAAAACCATTGACGCCTTAGTTGTTCTAGCTGGTTTTATTTCAATGTATAACGCAAAAATGATGCCGCAATGTTCAAAATGTAAAGCAGCAATAAGAAAATATAACTACTCAGTCAAAGAGATAGAAAGAATGCGAAACGACTATGCAGACTTAAAGAAAGAAACAGAAAAGCCAGCAGAAGATAAAATGGATATGTTAACATTTCTTAATAAAAACTATTCAACAGCAGAAGATTTCCTTCTGTCTGACGTCAAGAAGAAATATAAAGAGACTTTCGGCATGATTAAAACATTCGATGTACTAAAAGAAGAAATAGAAGCTACGAAATTGTTTAGGATTTCAAATATACATCGTACAATTCATGTAAAACGCTTGTGAAAAAAGAGGTGAAAAAACGGGTGAGATCTCACCTATTCACCTAAACATTATTTTTGCTGAAAATGACTAAATTTCATGAATTTTCATAAAAGATAAAAATAAAGTTAGTTTTATTTTTATTTATTTTTTTTATCTTTTATGTAAAGACAGTAATGTCAAACATTGAGTTTGAAACAGTAAGAAAGATTGACAATGACACCAAACTGGTTAGAATTGGTGATTTAAACGTAAGATACTGTAAGAAATACAACAAATATTCTTTGTCAGACATTATAACACCTTCTGGAAAGAAAACAAAGGACTGGGTTAGAATTGCTTCTACTCAGAAAATTTTGACAAGAAATCCTGAGCTCATGATATCGGTAAGATTCTATGGAACTACAGCATATCTCATTGACAAAAGTCTTATACCAATAATTCTTCTGTGGATTGACCCTGTTGTTGGATATAACTTCATAACTTATGGTTCATTCGATACGGAACGTTGCAGTGAAGGCTTACTTTACATCGTTCAGAAACCGAAGGACTTCAATACAAAGAGATATAAGATAGGAAGAACATATAATATAACTCAAAGATATGACAGTACAGTCAATAGAGTCAAGGTTGTGTTCGTTAATGATATGAGAGCCGCAGAAACAGAACTACTCGAAAAGTTTGAGAAAATGTATGGTGCTCCCATAAAAGGTAAAGAAACGTTTGAAGTAGATGAGATAGATAAAGCTATAAAATTATTTGACGAAGTTGCTGAAAAATACATGTAAAGCGTTTATTTTTGTCTTTTGTGAAAGTCAGAAAATAACGCTAATTTTTTCCTAACAAAAATTTTTATCTTGTATGTAAAGACAGTAATGTCAACATCAGAGAACACAACAACTGCTATCGTTCATGAAGCCATAAATGAAGAATACGAGTACATACAGTATAACAAACAGTTACGTCTCATTCGTTCAGTCAAAGACGATATGTACCAAATGCAAAGTATAATGAATGCTCTTCGTTCTACAAAGCAAGCATATCATTGGTTTGAAAACCAACAGACAAAAGAACTTTTAGAAGAATTTCCTCATATGATTGCTTTGCAGAATGAAGAGATTCCGTATGAAAATCGCAAGAATTTGGCTCCTTGTTTGAAAGGTTATTATGTTCATAGACTTTTAGTAAACGCTGTAGCAATGTGGGCTTCACCTCGTTATGCTTGTTATATTTTCATGATGTTAGATGAACTATATAAAGCAAAAGATGAAGTCATTGAATCCAAAGACAAAAGCATACAGAAAAGAATACCACGTTCAGTACCAAAAGGAAAGGAAAAGAGTTATAGGTATATGATATATACTGAAGAATTGGAGAAAGAAGAAGATAAAGATATGGTTATGTTGCATTTAGTCAGAAGAAACAACAAGAGCTTTTATGACTTAGCTAAAATATATAAATCTGACAGAAACTGGTTCTATCGTGAAAAACTTACCGATTTCAATGACACCGAATGAGCAAATAAAGGAAATTGTCAAAAATACTCTTCCTCAAACACACTATGACATCAAAGGTTGCACAATACTTACATTCAAAGAAGACTTACATTACTGAAGGAAAAAATAACAGAATATTTCGATAACTTCAAAGAGGAAGAATGAAGTCACGACAACATTAACTATGAAGTCACGACAACATTAACGAAGAGAGAATGAGGTGAAAAAAGAGGTGAAAAAACGGGTGAGATCTCACCTCTTCACCTAAAATATATTTTTGTGCTATATTTACACTCATTTACGAAGAAGTCATGAATCCTACGTCAATTATGTTCGACACTGATAACATTAACGATAACATTAACGATAACATTAACGATAACATTAACGATAACATAAATGCTCCATGTCAATTATGTTCGACACTGATAACATTAACGATAACATAAACGATAACATTCATTTTTGCATTAATCCTGCTGTATTGTCAAAATGTCATGTTGTCATCATTTTTCAGAGAAGTTAATTAACCTGGTGACATGGTGACGTGGTGACACCATCAGTTATTCAAAAATATATTTTTGCTTAAATAGCTTCAGGGTCTATTTCTTCAACCATTTCACTTCCTTCGTCAATGTCAATAGAAGCTTCTTCAACCTTTGGTAAGAATTTCTGTATAACAGCTTTGTTCGTTATTGTCTTCAGAGATGAAGGATAATATTTCACATTTGTTTCACCCTTCTTATATTCTTTCTGTTCGGAAAGATTCATAGCAATACTGAAGAAGTCAATGTTAGAGTTCTTTATGACAGTATAATGAGTATCTTTGACATTCACGAAGAAACCCTTTTGTTTCAAAACTACTGCTAACTCTTGTGAAGTATAACGTTTGCGGTCAATGACAATAGCTAATGGTCTGACATACTGACCAAACTTAGATTCTTTCACAAACTTCTTGTTAAAGATAACATTAACGTTTGAAGCACCATTGAACTCATTCTTGATGACAGTAGCGAGAGCATTGTATGAAAAGAACTTGCAATCTTGCATGTGTTTCATTAAAATAAAAATATTAAATTATTTTGAAAAATAACTTTAAAAAATCTAATCTAATTTTTTCAAAAAATATTTTTTATTTCCTACTAAAGATGTATCGGAAGTTGTCTAAGTTAGAACACTCGGAAATAAAACAACTTCTAACAGAAGCTAACATAGAAGTTGCAAAACATTACGCGACAAACAAAAAAGCACTCGCTGACATTCTCAATGACTACAATGGTGAAATAACTTATGATAGAATTCATGAGTTCATAAATGCAAGAGCATTTCCTTTAAATGACGTTGCTATTGACTTATATCATAGACGTTCAATACCTCATGAAGTAAGGCGTGAGATGTTTGACATAACAAATGCGAACGTTGGTCATACTCGTAAAGCTCTTTCTCATGAAGTAAGGCGTGAGATGTTTGACATAACAAATGCAAACGTTGGTGAAACAAGAAGAAGAGACGACACACTGAAACAACAGAGAAGAGAGATGTTTAAAAGTGCTATAGAACAAGTTCGCAAAGCTAACGATGTCATTCGTTCCATTGACGACAAACCAAAAGAAGGTGAGAGATGGTTAAAGAAAGATGAAGAGAATAGGAAGAGGAATGTTAAGACAGGCAATAGACTCATTGACTTTAACATCGAATCTTTAGATGAACCAAACAGAGACTACTTACACAAACATTTCGGTAAGGTTTTCATGAGACTCTTAGAGAAGATTAAAATAAACTCCCAACAAAGATGGATGGTATGTTATAAACTTGGTGGAAAGTATGAATGTTCTACGTTAAAACCTCAATAATATTGGAACATTACTACATCAGCTCTTGAAGGAGAACTTTATATCAGAGATAGAAGCAAATGCCGCAGGTATTGTTGAAATGCACTATGACTTCTTCTTGACAAACATAAAGAATCTTACTGAAATAAAGATGTATGATTTAACAGAATATGAAGGCTTAACGATGTCAGATGTAAAAAAGGCAAACCAAAAAAGAGACCATATAGAGATGAAAGCACACTGACAAATGACCAGAAAGCCATTTTGGAAGCTCTTAAGCAAACAGGAAACCCAGCACTTATAGAAAGCTTTTGGAAAGATAATGGTGAAAAGAAGTTTTATAAGAAGAGAAGCGGTCAGTTCTGGAAGTATCTTTGCACGTTACCTATAAATCTTGAACGCTACCAAATCTTCAATGAACTGAACAAAAGAACTGCAACACTTATGACAGAAGACAATTGTTTCGTTTATGCTTGCATTCAGGCTGGAGTAAATGAAGAAACTATTGACCACATGAGAGAAGTCATTCGTGTTAGAGACTTTCCTCAAAGTAAAGTACAAGAAATTTCTGACGCAACAGGTATAGCATTTAATGTTACCATTGGTTATTTCAATGACTCAAGATATAATGAAATAAAGAGATACATACCAAAAGAATGTGAAACTGTTCGAACTATTGACCTACTTCTTGTTGAAGACCACTACATGCTAAACGAAAGACTTCCAATGACAACATACTTCGTCAGAAATTACAAAGAAATCTTGAAGGAGTGTGGTGGAATGAACATTGAAAAACAGATGAAAATATATACAATGAGAGAGAACAAATATGTAGTTCGTTATGATAGAACTACACCGCTATGGGATGTTATGAAAACATTGTGGGAGTGCAAATATTTCGAACCTATTTCTTATGGAGAACTTTTCACATATACGACTGACTTATATAAACAGAACCTTGCACCATTTAAAGATTTGACATATGCTCCAAAGTATTGTGTACAACTGAAGAAGAAAGCAGAGTCAAAAGAAGTAAATAAAAATAAGTGCAAGTTCATTCCTGAGCACGTTTTCTTTGCTGACTTTGAGTGTAGTACCGATGGCTTTCATAAAGCTTTTAACATATGTTACGACAGTGAAGATGGTTCAGTGAGTGAAAGCATTTGGGGTCAGAACTGTGCAACAGAATTTTTGGAACGACTTCCTGACAAGAGTTTAATATATTTCCATAACCTCAGCTATGACATAAACTTCATCTTAAGACACATGACAGAAGTGAAAGGAACTCCCATCATTAAAGGTTCACGAACAATGCAAATAACTGGTTTATATAAAGGAAGGGCAATTATTATAAAAGACTCTTACAGTGTTATAAATAAGAAGCTTAAACTATTTCCTGCTATGTTTAACTTACAAACAGGACCGAAAGAAGTATTTCCATACAACTACTACAGCAGTACTTTGTTAGCAAATGACAACAGAACTGGTGTCATTTCTGAAGCATGTAAGTTTGTCAAGGATGCAGATACATTTATGAAGAACATAGATTCCATCAAAGGTTGCAGAATAGATGAGAACCACTTCGACTTAGAAAAATATAGCACGTTTTACTGCAAACAAGATGTAAGAATTTTAAGAGAAGGTTTTGTAAAGTTCCGCAATGACTTATTGAAAGAGTTTGATTTAAACGTTTATGACTACGTTAGTATTTGTTCAATTGCTAACAAATTATTTGAGAAAGAGTGTACTTCCGAATGGAAATCTTTATGACCTCTCAAATAAACCAAGAGAAATTTATTTCGAGATGCATTCAAGGTGGAAGATGTATGTTGTCAGATAACATGAAACAAAAGAGCGAAAAGAAACTCATTGCTGACTTCGACGCTGTTTCATTATATCCATCAGCTATAGCAAGACTTTATACTTTAGAAGGAATTCCAAAAGTATTGAAGGATGAGATGTTAAGCACAGAGTATCTCATGAGACATTTATTCGATGACGACCAAAAGGAACCCATTGGTGAAAAGTTTATGTCTGGCTTCTTTGTTCTCATTAAGATAACAGAGATTGGAATACATAGACACTTTCCTTTAATAGTTTGTGACCCTGAACTAAATCCAGAACTTAACGTTCCCAGAAGTTCAAACACTTGCTGTTTAATGTATGTTGACCATATAACATTACAAGACCTCATAAAATATCAAGGTGTCAAATGTGAAGTGTTGCAAGGATACTATTACGATGGAAACAGAGATATTAGAATAAGAGATGAAGTAAAGAAGTTGTTTGAGTTAAGGTTAAAGTATAAGAAAGAAGGAAATCCTTTGCAAGAAAATATAAAGCTCATTCTGAACAGTATTTATGGCAAAACTATTCTATCTCCTATTGAGTCAAAAATAACCATAGTAGATGACAAAGATGCTATAAGATATGCCATCAGAAACTACAACCATATAGTGAAGTTCGAAGGTTTGGATGGTTCAGAATAAAACTATTTTCAAGCTAACGAAAAGCATTTGCAGACACTTTAACTTCTGTCCACTTGGTGTAAATATTCTATCAATGTCAAAACGTATTATGAATGAAGTGTTTTGCACGATTGAAGACTTAGGATTAAAAGCATTTTATCAGGATACAGATTCGATGCACATTTACAATGAAGACATACCACGTTTAGCTCATGAATTTAAGAAGAGATACGGTAGAGAACTTATTGGTAAAACATTAGGTCAATTTCATAGCGACTTCGCAGAAATAACACCTGGAAAACAAAGTTTAGCATACAAGTCAATATTTTGTGGAAAGAAGACCTACATAGACTTACTCACTAACGATTTAAATGAAGTTGCATTTCACTGCAGAATGAAAGGCGTGAAGCAAGATGTTATTGCTTTAACCGCTAATGAAATGTTTCCTGACTCTGTTCAGTGTTTCTATGATGAAGATAAAGGTTTAATGGTTCCGCAAGGAAAATTTGACAAAGACTCTGAGTTCAGTGTTATGCAGTTATATAAAGCACTTTATGACGGTCAAGAGATTGGATTTGACTTATGTAAGTCTTCTAGTCCTTGCTTTGCTGAAAAGTTTTAACTTCTCAATAACGACTAAAACAAGCTTTATTCGTAAGTTGAAGTTCTGAGGTCATTTATTTTTGTCAGCAGTGAGACCATTCATGATAAAAATAAGCCGCTAGCGCAAGGGCGAAGCCATGTGGTCATTTACAATACTGCGATGGTAGAGTTTAAGAGTTGTGCTTCAATGTAGAGACAGTCCTTATGGTCTGGAGGTAAGAACACTGGGCAGTTATGGTCATGAGTGGAGAACATGTCTATCCAAAACTCACGATTGAAGCCAGTTAATTTATAGTATTTAGGGTTAGGAAGTGGTGAAGTTCTTGTATGACCAATGAACTCATTTTCAACGCCTTTGGCTATTAGAGAAAAGAATAGCTTGCTTTCTATCCCAAATGCCAGGTGTTACAATCTTTGAAAATTCATTTTTCCTCGGAAGCATTGCATCATAATTGAAAACATTCTTGAAATCATCACTTGGTTCAGAGATTTGAAATCTTATACGTAATGGATTTTCTTTCTCTTTAGCTACTTCATTGAATGGTGAATATATAACAAACTGACAGTCATGTGTTCCATCTTCATTTTCATTAAATTCATAATGAAAGTCTATAAGTTGTGGCTGACTACCTTCTTCTTTCAGTTGTGCAAGAAACTCACGTAAAGGCTGTAAAGTTTGTACTTCAATGTTAAACTTTTTCTCGAACATTTCATTAAATGAAATCATACATTGCAACAATGTTGTATCGTCTTTAAAGTATTTGTATATGTGAATGTTTTGGACACTTAAAGACTGTTCGTCATTTTCTATCTCGACTTGAAGTATAAAGTCAACTTTCCTAAATGCACGTGTTATATACATAGATGTTATGCCAATGTACTTCTCTTCATTTATGTTCACAATCCAGTCTGTTGGAAACTTAAACGTTACTCTGTTCCCCTTTATTTTGACGTCAGGGTTTTCACTACTGAACGCAACAGATAAAGGTATTTGTCTATACATTTAATTCGGATAAAAATAAACCATTTACTCTTTCTTTGCTTCAGCTTCTTTAGCTTTTGCTTCAGCTTCTTCTCTAGCTTTCTTCGCCAGCAAACGTGGGTTCTTCTGTCTTCCAGCAGCTAATGCAGCTAGTTGTTTTTCACTAAGTTTTCTCTTTGGTCTCTCTGGCTTTTGTTCTTGTTTTTGTTCCTTCAGTTCGGATAAAATTTGCTCGCGAATTTCTTTCTTCAATGCTTCAACATCTATGACCCCTTGGGTCTTGTCCATATGACTTGTCTGAGTCATTTGACTGCAGATAAAAAAACAAAATTAAAACTTTAACCGATGTAAAATGAGCTTGTCAAAATCAGAGCGAGAGTCTATTATATTAAATGACGCAAGAGGAATACAACATCCTTTCTATTATGTAAGTCAGAGTAAAGATGGTAAAATATACGTAAGAAAAAGAAAGGTTCCATTAGCGAATGCAGAGAGCGACAACATTAAGGTGCATGGCACCGAGGGTGAAGCCCATATAAAACCTTCTATTCAAACTGAAAAGTCAATAGAACAAGAAGAAAAGAAGCCAGATGTTCTTTCAATAACGAACCAAGAGCTTATTGCAAAGTTCGTGAATTTCATTGAAAAGCAAACCGAGTCAAAGAACCCTGACCCACCAGTGAAAGAAGTTGAGACAAAAGAGAATGTACAGTTCATTGAAAATGTCAAGAAACAACTTCCACCACGAATGCCAAGAAGAAGAGTGAGAATAATGAAGTAAATAGATATTTTTATCCGAAGTAAATACATGCAGAACGA